ATCTAGTGGTGCTAGTTTTTCATCCGAAATAATCAAGTTTTAAACCAAAGAAAAAGCACCAAATCAAAAGGAAGATCAGGCCACTATATGATTTAAATGATTTACAAGTATTAACATATCATATTAATGGTTTGTGTATTCATTGCGAGAGACAATCCTTCATTCTCAAGCGTACATTCTGTAGCTCATGCACTGTATTTTGTTATTTCAGGTTATATCTCAAAAACTTTCAAAGATACTGTGAAGACCAGAAAAATTCCTTTTCTAAGCCTGTTCAATTTTTTTTTTATTTTTGATGTCCATAGTAAATATTAGTTGATGGCTGGTTGTGATGTGAGAATACAATCAAAACATTTTGTTGTTGTTCAAAGTTTATACCCTTTTCTTGGCAGTATTTCATTAGCCAATCAAAGTATTTCATTTTAAAGTAGACCATTTATTTATAGTTCTTTTTTGATTCCCCTTTTTATCTCAAGATTTTTATAATTTTTGTGTTGTTTTTCTTTTTGGGTTATTTAGAGAGTAAATTTTAAAATATTTGAATTAAATTGGTGTACAGAATTAAAAGTTTTAAATTTTTTGCTATTATTTCACCATTTTTAAATTTGTAGAATCCAAAAAGTCTTTCTCTTTCCTATTAAGGTTAATAATATTTGTTATGCACAGTTCAGATGATGTTTATCCCAAAAATTTTCAATGTTTAACAATTTGTCTTTTTAATTTTAAAATATTATAAATCTTGTCTTAAAATCACTAAAAAGGTTGTACATTTGTCGTTTCTTCATTCATCGGTTATCTATGTACAAATAAATCCATTTTGTGTGTCACGTGATTTGTCATATTTCTTTGTACGGTTCAGCTTAACCAAAGATTTTGTACTTTGCTGTAAATCTGGTATGTCCACTGGCAGCTGTATGCTCCAGTGATTTTTCCCCTCATATCTTGAATCTTCATTATTATATATTACGATTCAGTCCAGTTTGGTGAGACAGGTTGTATGTTATGTGAAACAAATGCATGAGGAGAATAAGCAATAAAAATGTATGAAAACTAAGTCTGTATTTTGTTTGATGTGTTTTCTGTCGGTATATTGCAGAATGCTGTCCAATAAACTTGAATGAATGAAGGCAAACTAACAGGAGTTATACATGTACTGTAACGATCTGTGAAATTGTTAAATTTTCACTTAATTTTTTCCTTGTTTTCATTATATAATACAAAAGTAATGATTTTACCATGTTTGGTGGCTGATTCTTCAGTTCCAATTTTGTTTTAATTCAAAATTTCATATGATACAATTTTTTCATTGGAATATTTGAAGATTTACTACTGGTAGAATCTTAATAAAAGGGAATACAATGTATGATCTCGGGTAATTTTAACAGATATTCAGAGAGGAGAAATATCTCCGATTTACTTTTAGTAACACTAAAGGTTCCCACAGATTTCTACATGGAAAAGAACAGATTCCATCAATTTGTATTTCTAATGCAAAATACGGATATAGAACAAATGGAAACTAATTGTTAACCTTGCAATACACCTGGTATCAAAGCATTCTTTTTTCTTGGCGCAAGATTAATTAGTATCATTATTTCTTCCCGGGTTCTGGGAGAAAATGGTCTTTGCTCTTCAAAAAACACATTGAGAAACAAGGTTGCATTTTATTTGGATTCTAGTTTTGGTCCAATTTTGTTGTCTCCGTTTAATGACAAATATCTTTTTAAAGAATTGTATCTCCACTGATGATCTTTCCTTTAAAAATTGGCTGTGAACAAAACCAGTGGGGAAGAATGTAGAAATGTCACGTACAGAGTGCTTCTGTAGGTACAGTCAGATTAAGCTGCCATTGGTTGTTTTACAATTCAATGTCAAATATTCATTGAAAGTCAGACTTAAAATTCAGCATCACAGGTTAGAAACATGTAGGATAGATTTAGTGGCATATTTCTTTTGTAATTTTTAGCTCACCTGAGCAAAAGGCTAAAGTAGGTACAATTATTCTCATTGTGGCTCCTTGGGGAATTATTGGTTTACAAAATCAGGGCTGAAATAAGTCATACAGCTGAGCATCCCTATGTAGTATAAATGCCTATTTGTTCAAATTGTGACCCCAGAACCTTAGCTGTGGCCACAAGAGAGGTCAAAATTTTCACTGGAAATTTTCACTCCAATTTTCATTGGAAAATACCAAAAAAGAAAAAGAAAAAAAATTACTGGTAAATAAAGGGGGCCAAAATCCAAGCATCTATAATGTAATACAGTTTCATATTGGCAGCAAAGACTATAGGTTTGGACTCCTGTTTTGTATGAATGTGTTTTATAGAAATGTGTGTTGACATTCATAAGGGCCCCAGTTTGTGAAGTTACCGTAACTTTAAACTTTTGCATACTGTAAATATATTTTGGAAATCATGGACTTATCTTGCTGACAACATAATGGGTATTATTTATCATCGATGATTGTAACTCAGGTGAGCACAGTAGCCCATGAACCTCATCTTTTAATTGTAACTGAAAGAAATTTTTGCGTAGTTTATTTTAGGTAATGAATTCTCATGGGTTAATTTACATAATGCATGTAAAGGTGCATTAAGTACTGTGAACTAATGCAGACTGTCCAAGTTTCATCATATTTCAAGCCAAAGGTTTATGCAAGTAAGCTGTTCCCAGACAAAGAACGTGGTTATTCATGTTGTACATGTATTTGCAACAGAAGTATAGGTGGTAAGGAGAACAATATTTATTGATGGCCATTTAATATATTTTGTATTGTCGATACATATGACTGATGGTTAAAAATTAGAAAGAATTAAGAATTCAAATTTGATATATAGCAATTCCATATTGTAAGTTGACTAACTAATTGTTTCTTCTCAGAGTGCAATTATGCACATTTAGAAGAGTATTTGATCAGATTTACCTTTTTTCAAATAAGCAAAATTCATTGGTTTCATTGCAAAATTAAATGACCAATAATGTAAACCAACTTTTGATTGTATGTGAGAAACTTTTTCACATTTTAAACAACAATAAAATTATTTGAATCTGTAAGCAGTCATTCTCTATACATTGGTTAAAAATTGAGTTTGATATACTAGAGTTCAGACTATATCTACATTTAACAGTTCTAGCAATTTTGATATCACTGCAAATACAGTAGAGCCTTGTTAATCTAGGTCCTAATAAGCCAGATGTTTCACCTTTCCAACTAATTTGTGGGAAAAAAAATTCACATTTAGACCTATCAGTTAGCTCCAGTAATTCGGAAACTTTAATGTAGATGCTTTACTGAGAACACAAGTATTTGGATTAATGAGGTTTGACTGTATATCATAAAACCTGGACACCTGCAGAATATACTTATTACCCAGTATCTAGTATTTAATGTGGTGTTAGGGGCATTGCCTGTTTATTTTATTTTTCCAAATCAACAACTTTCAAAAGCAATTAATATTAGTAAATTCAGCCATTTTATAGAAATCATCAGTGCATTGGTCATTTGTCCAAAGTACAGATAAGACACAACCTTTGAATGCTTGAAAGGAATGATATTGTATAAATACATTATGATAACTTTCAGCATGCCTCCAGTGCAAGTGCTGATTCTGCCAACATTTAATATTAAAACAGAGAGATAATATAATGGGCAATTAATTTTGCACACAATTTATGATATTTCAAAATCTATTTTCAAGTTTAGTGCATTAGCTAATCTCAGGCAGATCAAGATAAAGCCCTAGAACACACATGTTTTGAAGTAGTCATTCCTTCATGCACCTCTCAGACTTAAGGTTACATTTCAGACCCCTTTGATGCTAAAACATAAACAAAATTTGTAGCACTCCATGATAAGAAATGAGTCTATAAACTAGATAAAGTCAGCTTTCCTGAACTCTTTTGACAAGTATGATAAAGAAACACATCATTGTGGCTTTGAAGCTGCTTTCTAACAGTGGTTTTTGTCATGGGGTCAATGCGTTTCTATAGAGATGTCCTCTAAGGTGAAAGGTCACACCTGTCCCATGAAATGATAAACCCCCACAATGCTTCCTGCATTTGAGCACTATGAAAACAGTGCAGATCCATGTCTGTATACCAATTTATGGGTACAATCTTACATTTATTGTTCTGTAGAGATTGTTAATCTGTTGATCTCATTTCTCAAGTTTTTATAAACCTGTATGTACAAAAAAAAACCTCCCTGTTATCTTACAAGAGCTCACTCAAGTAACTTCTTGCATTCTTGGTTCACTTCTTTGTAAGATTTTTCCCCATTTGAATGTTAATTGTTTCCATAAACTGGAATATTTTTGTTTCAAGCAGGGTCCACTGCAGTAACCCCTTTATATTTCATTTTTGCCTAAACAATAAAATATCACAAATTACTAGAAATTCTAACCATCACTTACTTTGGGCACCATTATGAATATTGTTAGTTGAGGCACATTTCATACCCCACATATATATAACTAGAATTGTGTCCTTAGGACAAGTGTATATTAGTAAATGCAACATGAAAGTTTATATTTGTGTTTGAAGTTTAATGAGAATATCCTAAATAGTTTCTTTAAAATTGAAATACAATGTATATCAAATACATGTTTTAATACATAAGCTTACTTTAAATATATCTTACATGTAATTGGTTTTTTTAAAACTCAACAAAATGTAAATTAAAGACAAGCAAGGCCAAGGTCACAGGAAAGTGCAAGGTAAAAGGATTTTGATACAGTTGAAATGCTCTCACTAATATGCATCAGCATACTAAAGTTTGATAAAAATATCTTGAATGGTTTCTTTAAAACTGATCAAAACACTAAGAAAAGTGAGGTCAAGGTCAAAGGAAAGGTAAAATGTTGATGCTGTTTGAAAGTTTAGTCTGTATTAGCATATGAAGTTTGATACAAGTATCATGAATGATTTCTTTAAAACTGAGGTAAACATAAATTTAAGGAAAGTGAGGTCAAGGTCAAAAAATGTTGAAGCAATCAATACCTAACATCAGCATGTATCAGCATATGAAGCTGGAATACACTGTCTTGAATGGTTTCCTTAAAACTGAGGTAAACAGTAATTTAAGAAAAGTAAGATTGAGGTCAAAGGAAACATCAAGGTCAAAATTTGTTACGGCAACTATAAATAGCTTACATCAGCATATAGAAGCATATGAAGTTTCAAAAAATATCTTGAATGGTTTCTTTATACTGAGTTAAATACTATTTGAAGAAAAATGAGGTAAAGGTAAAAAAAAAAAGGTCAAGATAAAAAAAAATGCTGAAGCATTTGATAGATCTCATCAGTGTGTATCAGCATATGAAGTTGTATGAAAATATGAATGCTTTCTTTAAAACTGATAGACAATAATTAAGGAAAAGTGAGGTCAAGGTCAAAGGAAAGGTCAAGGTTAAAAAATGTTGATGCAGTGACATAGCTAACATCAGTATGTATCAGCATATGAAGGTTGATTATATTATTTTGAATGGTATCCAAGTTTAATCGTAAAAACTTAGAAAGAACTTATCATCTGGAAACCAATTTTTGTATTATATGAATACATGTATATGACTATATGACAATGGTCTCTGATGTTTTACTTCAACTTCTTTGATATGTAATAAAATTTTATTTCAAATGCTTCAAGACTTTCAAACATATTGAAAAACTAGCACACCATTTAATACCCTATGTGCATTTGTGACCTCAACTTTTCCCTTTATCTCAAATTCAACATCTTAATTTTTTAAGATATAGAGGGTCTTCACCTACATTTTCACCATAACAGCTCAAAGACCATTGTTTGCAATGTATGAATTTGTAACCTCAACCTTTAACCTTTTGACCTTGAAATTCATTTGGTCTACACATAATGGGAGTTTTTACTCATAGAAGGTTATATAAATTTCATTGGGAAAGCTAAAGTATTTTTATCAAAATCATTTGGAAACTAAAGTGTTAAAAAGACTCAAATTACCAAAATATTCTGATTTTAGCAAAACAGGAGACCAAAAGTGCTTCTCTTTCTTTGATTTGGGTAACTTAAAGCTGAACACGATTCGTAAAAGGAATGTGTCCGCCATTTTTGTTCCCGAGTCTCGCTGCTCTGTAGACCCCTATAAATAGGGCAGAACTTAGTCACTGTTGAGTGTAATCAGTCGACACCAGTGTAAATGGATGTATGCTGTTCAGGACTCGGTAGCGAGAATAATAACGTAATACTTCGTCTAATTCAGGAAAGTAAGATACAATATAAATTTACAATTAAAGTTGTATAAGTCAGTGCAGTATACAAACAACACAGATAAACTGCAATAAAATATAAACAAAGGCAATGCAAGATAACCAGCACGAACACGGGTCGCCATTCCATGCCGATACCCGTGACAATAAAGCAGTCAGGTGTAACGAATGCGACGAGTATACCCTAGTATTGATGTATCGTAGATAATGCTATCGAAAATGGCGTATGCCTATTTACGAGTCGTGTTCAGCTTTAAAAAGCTCCACAAATTCTCCAGTAATTCTTGTTTTTCATCATTTAATACATGTCAAGGTACCTTTAAGTTTTCTTCGCAACCTGAATTATTACATTTCGTAATCCAAAGCAAAAAATGAAAATGCAAGCTGCAATGACCTGTTTATTGACAACAAATTTTGTGCATCACAGTACAAAATTTTTCGTTCGAACACCATGTACCAAATGAGACAAATATTTCAAATGAATTCTCTAAAACAATCTACAGTTAAAAAAAAAACCATACTGTGAGTCTGCCTCTTTGGTATCAAATAACAAATAATCAGAAAAACAAGACAAATTTGATTGCTTTTGTCAGAGATCAAACAAAGGAGGGAGTAAGCATAATGAAAACAGATTTTTTTTTAATTTTCACCATATTGGAACACGCCTGTTCTAGTACTTTAACAAATGAATTAGACTTCAGTGAATTAAAAGCAATCTTAGTCGAAGCATTAGATTAAGACAATTTTGAGAATTATAGTTCTAACTGCAAATTTTTATGTCTTTAAACAAATAAAATTATCACAGAATTGCTAGTAATGTCAATCAAACAATATCACTGACATGACATGAGACATTTTATTTCGCGATTTATCAGGATTTTTCAATTAATTCAGAGTACTTAACAATTGTTTTTTAATTCATTAATGTTAGTAGAATGATTAAAACTATTTACATTTTCCTATCATATTACATATTTTTTAGTAATTTTTGCCGAGAAGAAAATTTAAAAAACATTTATATAAATCTTGTACCTACAAAATTAATTTTGATAATTTTATCAAGGGGAAAAAAATCCTCTAAGATTTCGGTGTGAAAACTGTCTAACATCTAGACATAACAATCTATGCATATTATTTTTACATTTGAGTCACATTCCATAATTATAAGTGCTCACAAAATTATAAGTATATGAGACTGTATACATGTACAAGTAACAGAACATTTTTTTTTCAGGTCAATTTACAACAAAATGATAGACCTTAAATTACACTACTCAATAGTGATATAAAAAATTCAACAAATATTGCACAAAATAATATATCATATATACAATAACATTTTAAATATATTTTTTGGTATTTTCAAGGTCATTTGATAAGTAGATGTCATGTTCACAAATTGATAGAAATAGGTGGGTTCCTATATACCTGATATAGTTTAAATTAACTGTACAAAGAGAAAACATATCATTAATCTTTTCAAGGAATTTCAAATACTGTATCCACTAATACATGTACAAAGGTTAAACATCAAGCTCCAGATATAAATGATTCTAAATTATGATTTAAAAAAAAAAGTTGGTTCATCATAATGAAACTTTAAAATACTCCCCGACAGGAACTGTAGATTCCATAAAAAAGGTGAGGATTTTAATATCGTGAGGACAAATCATGAAATAACATTAACATTTTTATTCTTAAATCTTATATTGCTAAAATACATGAAAGTCCTCCCACAAATTCATGTTTTCACGATTTGATGTCTGCGAGTTATTTTTCCAAATGTAAGCACTCAACTAAAATACCTTATAAGTAATGATCTAAACTAATTGTCTGCAAAAAAACTTTCAAAAAGAGGTAAAAATAACATGAAAACAAATCATAATTCATGATTCATAACAAGACGATAGTTGAGAACTTTAGAGTGATTAGAACCTACAAGGTATGCGAACTTGATGTAAAACCAAATCTTAATATGCAGAAGACTGTAAATTATTTCAATAATAATAAGATTAATTTAAATTCCTAAGTACCAACAAACTTTCTGACACCTGAACCCTACTTCAACGAAGAATGAAATCGTAGCTTATAAATGCATATAAATGAATGAATATCAGTATATGTAATATTTATTATATGTATAATATACATGTTTGCATCAAGACATTATTGACATTACCTCTAACAGACTAGACTAAGTAGTTCTATTTTTAATATTCATAATATATACACCTTTATTTACAAGAAAGGTAGACACACACAGGTGAGATTCACATCAGATGAGATACAATAATTGACATGAGTAACAAGAGATTCGGGTACATAGTTTTACTCTGTATATTCCATTACGTAAATTCACTAACCTTGCCATTAATAAAATATCATATTCTTATTCTGTTCATCAATATTCAATAACATTTACATTCCCTGCATGTAAAATTTCCAATCATGCTTTAAATTAAAACTGGTTTATCAATAATGATTTAGCAATAAAATTTGATCAAATTTCAGAGAAAAAAAAATGATTTTCTTCCTTGCTATCCTGAAAGGAATGTACATTGTACATGATTGAAGTGTAATAATAACCACTATCCACGGATAAAAAATATCTATAATAATACCTTCTGCATTTTATAATATTACACAATCTAAGAGGCCGGGCCTAGATGTGACCTACTGTGAATTACACCTGAATGTGTCACAGGTAGGTACCAGGTGTAGAGGTTGCCAGTGCCCCTCCAGGTGGTAAAAGGCCCTTGTAAGAACCTGGTGTGACAATCCCCCGATTTGAACGCCTAATACTGCAAAATCATATTGTCCACACATTTTGACTACAGAGTATTATCACCAATGCTTTCAACACCAATATCTTGTGAATGAAACTATTATTGAACACATATTTTGTTAAATGATGCCTGACACAGTAATTAATGGTTCTAACATTGTGTTGACGATTCTTCCGATGAGCGATGATAATGACACGGATGACGGGCAATGATTGGTCAGGGTCTAGGTGCACCTACTGGCCGACTGACCAAAACTTGGTCGGCAGCGGAAATTGAAGCAGCTTCCTGTGGGTAATGAGAACGTGTCAAGCGCCCATCATCTTTTTGACAGTGTATCCCGGCATGGAGTAGAAGAACAGGACCAATAGGGCAGCCAGTAGCAAGACCACAAGGACCTTTATAATCACCCACTTGTAGTTATGCCAGAGAATGTAACGGATTGACTTGAGGGGATTCAAAAACCATATAAATGAGGAGTCCGGTCGGCTGCAAAGACAAGGAAATTCATCAGTACAAGTCTGACGACAGAATTTCTACAAATAACATTCAGATGAAAAGAAAACAATGTAAAAATTTCTGGCAAACAAATTCGACTAAAATCAATTATTTCTTGGAAACCTTGTTGAGTTTTAATTAGCATAAGCCAGTATATTAATGGAATTGTATGAGAGACGTACTTGGGTTTTTCTAAGGGGTCAGGTTCATTCCTTCCTAACCCTGCTGGGTGTTTTTCTGCTTCATCTGATGTCATCAAATGGAGCTCAGCTTCAACTTTGCCCTAAAATAAGGTCGTAAAAAGGTTTCTTTATTTCTTCCTTTTGATACTTTATTAAATATACTTCACTTATGCTCTCAGAAAATTTTCTGTTTTATTCTTCTTGCAGAAAACACATCAATTTTTATTGGGATATGATATGCCATAAAAATATACTCATAAAAGAAACAATTTTTTTTTGTAAATTAAAAAATTGTGAAAAAGAAAAACATTCATATATAGGCCTCGTGTTATATTATTTCATTGAAATTTTCCCTTAAATCAGCACAAGAAATAATATATGAGTATGGGTATATATTTCTCATAAATTCAGGATTTTAATTGGTGTAATTATCATCTTTTTTGTTTTAAACATGTACATGTATCATACTGGTATTCTCTCACAAAACACTAAGATTCATATCCACTTATCAAGAATCAAAAATACTATCACACAAGTATTGTAATTTTTGTATGATTTACATTTCTTCCAAATTACTCATTTTTGTCTCCCGATTTAATTGTGCACAGATGAGATACTCCGCTGCAGTGGATCATCTTGCAACTTCCCTCAACGAAGAGAAAATTACCTATAAAGGCCAACATTTCACCTCTAATGATCAGCTACAAAATATGACAGCGTTTACTGACCCCCATTTCCTTTTCAACAAAAAATACCTGGAGGAAATTAAGTCTGATTAGGGCAATTTGAAACCTCTTCAATTTTCCTTTAATAAGTATTTTTGCCCAAAATGAAATTGCTCAAAGATTATCAGGAAAAATCAAAAGCTAGAAAAAGTAATTTTGAACATTGACTTAAAGCCCTAATGATGAGTGAGGACTGTATAAAATGGGTGTCTGTGTGATACATAATTTTTCAAAGAACATTCCAGTGTATCTAGGGTCTAGGAAAATATTCGCCCTAGGATAATGACTTCATTTAAAATTTTACTTCCACCAATTAACAAGTTATTTTGGCTTTCCAATTGCCTCAAATATAGCCAAAGAATATCTGCCATGTCCATTCCGTAAACTCATTACTCATGCTTTGGGATTTGTTAAATCCCTTTCCTGCGGAGCCCTATTGAAATCACTATGATAGATTTCTTGGATCCTCTCTCTGGCTTTGATTTTTCAGAAATTGCCTTCAATCGATTGAGTAATCCTTTTAAATGAATGCATTGTGCAATTGCAAAAAAAAAGACTGCAGGCCATTTGCTAATCTAAAATAATTAATGCACCCAATTACGACGACCATTGGTTGGTTCTTACCGTGAGTTCGTACTCGTCCCCAGATTCGCTTTTGACTGCGAATGGCCACCAGCCCTTGACCCTTTTCTGTTTGAACAAGGACATATGAGGGATATTAGGATCCTCCAACATGTTGAGGGTGCATAGCTTAGAAGACTTGGCACCACGCGGAAATCGATTCAGGTCCATGGTGAAAGCCCCTGAATAATAAATATCACTATTATCACCACTTTAAAAGGATTATTTTTGTCTTTTGATTTGTTCAATTTTTTTTTCATTTTATTAGGACAGATCCTGAGAATCATTTTCACAATTGTTCACAAAAATTAGATTAGAAAAAAAGGAGGGGGGTTGTGTTTTTGTTATGCAACTAAAAAAAATCACCCTTGAGGAAAAAAAGTTATTATCACCAATAATTCATTTCATCCCAAGCTAACATTTTAAATTGATGACCAAAATTTATTTTCTGCATTTACTTTGATAACCCAGTAAAGTGTTTGGTAACTGAAGCTTCCTCTATCTCTCTTGCTGCTGTATCTATAAACAATAAGCCTCCTCTATTGGGGCTCCAGGATTGACATAGAATCAGCTGTGCTAATTGAGTTAATTCTAGCACATTATTTAGGCTACCAGCAGATTGCTTCTGTCAGCAAGAGGGGTTACTTCTGATAAGAATGAATACTTTTGAATTTCTTGCTTAAAATAATAATAATAGTAGATATGCAGAAATTATGAATGTGTCCCTGAACTTAATTTTAAGATGTAAGGCCCATGGGCCACAATGCTCACCCGAAGCAACTATTGCTCATCTGTTCTTCATCAGCAGAATTTTTTTTTTTTTTTTTTTTTTTTACATATTCTTATGTAAAACTTTGTTCACATATTATGACTCCAACCTACTCCTAGGGGTCATATATTCAAACAAAATGTGAATCTACACTACCTGACAATGATTCCTTATAAACATGTCTGACCATGTCTCTGCTGTTCTAGAGATAAAGAATTTTAATGATATTTCCTATATGTTCCTACATGTATAACTTCAATCCATTGTTGTGGCCCCAAACACAACCCCCTCCCAATGAACATGAAATGAAAAAAAACTTGAATTTACAGTATTTCATGAAACTTCCACACAAGTTTCATCTTTTCTGGCCCAGTAAATCTTGAGAAGAAAATTTCTAAAAGATCCTATCAAAGTTCATTGTTGCCTGAATTCTTTATTATCTCCCCTTACCAAAGGAGGCAAGTTTGGTTGAAATTGGCCTACTGGTTCTAAAGAATTGAAAATGTGAAAACTTTTACAGCAATACATGACACCAATATAGATCACAGAAAGACAGGCGAAAGCCAGACACTTTTTGACCAGAAAAGCTCTGGGTAAGGTGAGCTAGAAACAGTTTTGGTTATAAGAAATCTTCAGTAACTCTTATGTGGGGGCAAGACTTCTCATTAAATGGATTATGTTAATGACTCTATTGTTTTGTTTTGAAAATTATATACCTTGGTGTCTAATTTATTTACAGTGGTGTATTTTTTTCACCAAAACAGCCATTATTAATACAAAGTCAACATTAATACAATACCGGGGTATCATACATTATTCATAACCTCATGTCAAAAAAATTCAGATCAGCTTGAACATATATTCAAAGATGGAAAATAGTAAAACTTTGAACTATTACTTCTTAAATTAGTATAAATGTATGTTATTACTTATTGAAATACTTCTACCACTCACCCAGAAAATCATCTGCAGAGAAGTGGTCAGCATCCCAGACTTGCAGATTGAGTCGGGCTGGAATTTTTGTTTCAGACTCATCCCATGAAAAGAGGGATTCTTTCCTAGAGATCACAATCTTTTCCTCTGCCACCAGGTAGTCAAATGGAAAGACAAACCTCCAGTTAAAATTGCCCTCCCCTGTAAGTGACCTACAAATGGAAAGATAAACCTGCAGTTGAAATTGCCCTCCCCTGTAAGGGACCTACAAATGGAAAGACAAAATTCCGGTTAAAATTGCCCTCCCCTGTAAGGGACCTACAGTTGGAAAGATAAACCTCCACTTAAAATTGGGCTCCCCTGTAAGGTACCTACAAATGGAAAGACAAACCTCCAGTTAAAATTGCCCTCCTCTACAAGTGACTTACAAATGGAAAAAATAAACATCCACTTAAAATTGCCCTCCTCTGTAAAGGACCTACAAATGGAAAGACAAACCTCCAGTTAAAATTGCCCTCTCCTGTAACGGACTGACAAATGGAAAGATAAAATCCACTTAAAATTGCCCTCTCCTGTAAGTGACCTACAAGTTTATGAATGATTGTAGACTTTACTTCTGTCTGGATTTTCTAACATTTTCTTACTATGTGTATTTTTGAGTTGGTTTGGTGGGAAAGGGGTCTGGAGGGGAGATAAAATTTTTTTAGACATTAAACCATTTGTATAAAAGAAGCTTAATCCCTATGCATTTTATGTCATCCTCATTCTTTATGAATGTAATAGAATTATTAAAAAGCCATTTTCGACTATAATAAGAAAATTCAGTTTAATTTTTATATCCAAAAACACTGATATGGATATGTGTGGGTTGGACGTCTCAAAAAGTTGTTTGTTTTTTTTTAAAGCTGATTTGCATTCTCAGAAAATAAAGAGTTTGGTATAATAAGGTTTGACTAGATTCCTTTCATTTTCATTCAAATGGCAAAAAGGGCAACTTTTGAGGCAATTTGTTTTTTTAATTTTATTCCCTGTTAAAAAAAATACTACAGTAAAACTCGGTTATAGCGAAGTCCTCGGGACCTGTGAATTTAATTCGCTATATCTGTAATTCGTTATATCCGTATAACGAATTCGTATAACCATTATAGCGATTTTGCAATATGCATGTTTTCCTTCAGGTATTACTACTAAACATGTTAGAGAAGCAAATATTACAAAACCTAGTCCTTTGATACCTAAGATTTTAATTACTATGAATTGAATTTTATATACAAATGCTAAAAGGAAATAAAGTCAGTTCAATTTATCAAATCTTTTATAATCTTGGAAAGTTCGTTATAAAAGATGTAAATTTCATTATATTTAACCTCAACGGGACTCAAAATCAGTTCGCTATATCTGTTAATTTGTTGTATCAGAGTTCATTATAACCGTAAATTTTTACAAAGTTTTGTTAACAATTTTGCCGGGGACCCAGGAAAACTTCGCTATATCCGTGAATTCGCTATATCTGTGTTCGTACTAAACGAGTTTTACTGTACAAGAGCCCTAACTATAGCTAATGCCCACATACCTGGCCAATATAAAAAGGCAACAGTGACAGCAAGACAATTGTTACAAAACTTTTGTTACCCCCTAATATCTCGAGATGACTTAACTACAATTTTGTAACCTAACCATTTGGAAAACAAATCATAAATATTTTACATCTTTTTCCATCACATTATTTACTTACTCTCTTTGAAGTTTGCTTATTCTAACATCATATAACAGAATTATTAATGTTCACGTATATTGTACCGAATCTTCTTATGAATTATAGAATTTTTTTAAAAAGCCACAATAATTCTCACTATTTACATTGTACAAAATACTTCTGAATTGAAAATATGCTTTAGGATAGGGACCCTAGTGTTCTTTTTTATTCATGAATTCATAATGATTTCTTGGTATTTTTACCTCTGAAGACAATATCATTTGCACAGGAGGAAACGCTCTCTTAAATCGGACTTTAAAATGATAATTTATTACTTTATTGTGTTGCGACAGGAATGGCATCCATTGTTGTTATGATCAGGCATCTAATATGCTCTTTGTTACATTATACCTTATATGTCTTTAATACATCAAATTTTCATTAAACACTGACTTGCAGCATTTATCAAGTGAAATACGATTACACGCTCAGACACACAATGAATATTAAAAAAAATTACGCAATAAGATACTGCTTTCCTGTGGCCGAAAAAAAAGTGACCTAGTGGTTACGCAGCATTTTAAAATTTATTGTAGGATTCTAAATGATTCTCAACAATACATGTATATAAATCTGTAATCTAATATACCAATTCCTTATTACGATTTTTTTTAATTTGTGAAGAAATTAAACAAGTGAGTAATCACATTGTCAACTAGTGAATTAGAACTTCACAAGCGTATTGATTTTAGCCTCAGAGCGAGATGTGCTGCAGGATCTATAATATTGACGGCCAATTCTCTGAATTTCCCTAACCGAGACTAAATCCTGTTCTACCACCTCAAGAAAACATCTGTTAAACAAGGTACAACATATGCTTTACCGTGCAGAAGTTGTGTTTTTTTTATCACCATGAATAAAATACTAGGTTTCTGAATGAATAAGTTTCCTTATAAAACTGATCCTTAATTTGACTTTATCAAGCTTGAAGTTAGCATGTAAAAGCTGTGTTGCTACCGAAATGTGGGGTATCGGTATCGTGACCTCACTGGAACAATTTGTATGGATGGGGGATCAATTTTAGCGGGGACTGATACAGTTACCAGTCGAGTTTAACCTTCGACCTTCATCTTATTAAAGATTCATTCATTTGAATTAGATTTAAATTGTAATTTGAGTGTACAGGAGATGAACATTTTTGTTTCATATTCACAAGCAGGGCATGAAAATTACCATTTTACCTGTAAATCAAAATTTGATCAAATATAGCTTGAAAGGCTTTGGTTCCCCTCCCGGAAAACGGGATCACGCAAGACGAAACAAGATCTCACGTATATCAAGCATAAAGATCTATACTTTATTATGCTATCTCTTAACATCATTAACTGCTCATAAATGGTTCCTTCTTTTACCATTCAAGTAAATATGACTTCTGCATCTCTGTTTTGTTTAATATTTTATATCCAGATAATCATCAGCCTACAACAGGAGAAAGAATACAACAAAGAAAAATCGCAAAAGAAAATCTCCACCTTGTTCCTTTCATAAAAAAAGAAAAATTTGATGTCCTCCTTGGAACAGAAACATGACTTGCAGCTAAAATACAAAGTGAACCCAGAAGTCTATTTTTCTCACATTTAATGAATGCTTTTTATTAGGATTTAGTAATAAAGAGAGAATCGCGAAAGTACAATGCCCATCCATTCCTTTCTTGTTGTCTGAAAGCTCACGGTTTCTTGATGGGCATCATAAATGACTTCAACAAAAAACTGCATGGCCAATGATTAAATGGTGGTCATTTTTATTCTTATTTGGATTATAGTTTTTCTAATCATAAACTACAAATTTCTGCTGGAGACTTGCAGGTGATAAGGTCACTGTAGGGTTCACTTCATGAAACATTTATGTGACTTAAATTCCTTTTTCATTAAAAAAAAAAATTCGTTGTAAAATAAAAAAACTTACAAAAAAGGCAAGTGGAGGACTGTGGAGGTGGAATGAAACTACTATAACATGATATACAACACACTTTCTAAGCACAATTCAAATGCAAAGATGAACATTTCTGACTATAGTCTCATAAAAAAATTATTTGAAAAAAGGGCAACCTTAAAGTTTCTATCAGAACTTTATTTTGGGGATATTATATTCAGGAATGGTAACAAAATGATCTATCCCACTACGTAGTTGTATCTTGTATTACCTGTAGTGTATATCTGTGGCCTGCATATCATCCTGGCCCTTTATCCAGCCCTTGACATAGATATCACTCATCTTCTCTCCCGTAAAGAAGGCATCGTCCTCCAACACCACATCATCTGTGTTCCAAATAATACACCGTAGTTCATAACTGTAACATAAAATTATAACTGTCAGTTAACTGCTACTACTATCATTACATTTAAATCTTTTGAAATGATTTTATTTATTGATCCCTGATTTGGAAGTCCTTCAAATTACATTTCATTTGCAAAATCATATTTGATTCATAGTTCTATAGTAAGAATACTACTACTTAGACTTTAAGAAATAATATACTGGCTACTGTTTACAGAGCTATTCTTTTTGCCCAAAGTAATTTTCACCCATCCTAAATAGTCCCTAACATATATGATTTTAAAGATAAACATCATCTTTGTGTTAAATTAGCCCACCACCTTCAAGGCCAAAAGGGCCAAAAGTAAAATAGGAGGGGGCAAAATTTCCCTGTACACAGTATACCTAGCTTTATTATCTGGACTTGTGTCCTCCCCTTAAATTAAAACACAGACTCTGAAACAATTATTTGTTCTCAATACAAACCTTTTTGGCCTCCTGGGACTAATATCCACTGGTGCTGGGGGAGCAGGCATGTCCATAGGGAACATATCCACCCACATTTCTAATTTACCCTACAAATAAGAGAAAAAAATACATTACTGCTGAGTGAACAAGTAGATCTCATTTTCTCATAGAGACACTTTGATGGAAATGTGAAGGCAAGATGTTTAGGCCAATCAACAAGCATCATCACTATAAGAGTGAAGTGGTACAGTGAAAACTGTCTATTCCAACACCTGTGTAATTTGTTTCCCTGTGAATTTCAAACCTTGATTTTAATTCTGAATAACTATTTTCTTTGTTCTTTTTACTGTGTAATCTGACACCCTGTACACTCTGACATAAAATGTCTCAGATTAGATAGGTTTCAAAGAACAGTAAAACTTGTTTAGTACGAACACAGTTATTGCGAATTCACGGATATAGCGAAGTTATCTTGGATCCCGGGTCATATAAATTTAACAATTTCCTTGTACAGATATAATAAATTATGGATATAGCGAAGTAATTTCATAGGTCCCAGTGGCTTCGTTATAACCAAGTTTTACTGTATATGGCAATGCCGCTTAACCATCACTTGAATCATATATTCAAAACAAATGATATATTAAGCAGAATTGAAAGAATGAAATGTATTTTTTTTTAATAACCACTACAGTTGACTTATGATTCAGTACTATCCTCTGTGCCCATATAAAGATAATAAATGTATAAAGTTGCCTGGTGTTGGAGTTGGACCATTCAAGAATGCGTCACTTGTTTTTGCTCTCTTTTGCAAATTTTAAGAATGACTTATCTAAATGAATATTTTAAGTTCTGAACAAAATAGCAAGTGCACTTTTCTGATAATAGCTTTGACACTTCAAAAGTCAAGTTCTGACTTCAGGAAACTTGTAAAAAATGTTAGATATCCCATCTTAGGCCAATCCAAGTTTTTTCTTTGTTTTATCCATGGCCAGATTGGTTTTGAGGTAATGAATTTAAAAACAAACACAAATTAAAATCGACAAATGCAGATATTTACAATTCAATTCAATCATTTGGGATTTGTATCTCTTTTTCTTTTAAGTACTGTACCAATTTTTTTTTTGTTTCAATAAACTATAGTAGATTAACTCAGTTACAATGCGAGGGGAATTCTCAAATAATGATGAGAAATTCTAGAATTGTGCTTAAAATGTTCAGTTTTGTTTTGTGCATTTTTTCAAGATAGAGAGGTTTTTTGGAATTAAGGATGAATGCTAAACAAAGAAAAAACTTAAAATGGCTTTATCATCTTCATCTCTATTTATTTCGACATATTCATGGTATTCTCAAAATTAATGTTCGAGATACTGAAGTTCAAATGTATACCTGTAAGTACAAAGAGTAATATACAGAGAAAGGACAGGAAAACTATTACCTAACAAATCCAGGGAGTGTTAAATCAATTATCAGCCTCTCAACAGTCAGCCCTGTTCACACCTAAACACACAGGAGGCTGTGTCCTATCTAACCGTAATTCCACACAGTCACCGATGAACAGTTATGTAATCATTGTAATAACACTATACCTAGGTATCATTTCCATATATCAACAAAACTGTTTTTAGAACAGTTCATATCAAGACAAGTAATGCTTTCTAAAATGTTGCTGCAACTTAACAATGCTTACAATTCTGGAATTTCTGAATTACTTGTCCAAGGGAAAACAAAAAGCTTTATTGACAACACATTGGTGTTCAGAAATGTCAACTATCCTAACTTGATTTCTGTAAGTAGTAAATGGTCTAAGTAGTTAAAGAAATTACTTTGCATTACTTTGAGTGGAGACACTTTTACTTCTATCTCTAGTTTTTCTGGGTTAAAGAAGCACCACCTCCTCCAAAGAGAGACCATGTATTAGAGAGAAATTACCTGTTCTATGCCTGGTTTTTCTGGGTTGAAGAGTGGTCTGGTCTCCACGTGCTCTGGTACCAGTTTACAGCCAACTTTTGGTATTTCTTCCCATTGTCTAAGAACTGACAAAGCCAATTGTTCCTCATGGTTTTTTCGACTCTCTGTAACATAAAACTCAAAAAAATCAGAAAATAACATTTTCATACCAAAAAAGGGAAGTAATGATCAAATTTGGAGGGATTATGGCTTTTTAAAGCATAACATTTCTAAGACAAATAATTTAGACAGGATTTCTGTCCTTAAGGAGAAAGGCAATGTAAGACAGACAATTGATGTCAGTATCGGCCAAGTTATTGTCCTTCCCAGCCTAGTCATGTGGGTTACTCTCTGTCCTGACTGGACAAAGGATCACTTCATCATAAATAGGGATCTGACCTATAGGACTGGGCTTGGTTTTATTCTCTACAAAAGCTTGTCATTTTCCGTTTTGAATGATGACATTAGGCTGAATACATATAACAATTCGTTTTTCCTAAATCTTTATTTCAGTGAGTAGAAGTAGGAGGAACCCTTTCATTGATTTTCTCCAAATGTAATAATTGATATTTTTCTTTACCTTTCATTGTGCATAAAGGCAATGTCTACTCTCTCTGAAATTCTATTCCTTATATCTAGGCTATTTATCCCTGGATATAATAAAACATGCCATTAATGTGTGCAAATTATATAGGCTTAAATGAAATCCAAGGAAAACAGTTACACAAAATGGTGTTTCGGCCAACTTTGGAGGTTTATTGTAAATTAAGTTATAAATTATAAATATTAGATATAAAATACAAATTTGAAAAATATAGACATATACACGGTAGAAAACAACAACATTAACGTTAAGATTAATTTTTAAATGTCACTTTTTCCAGGAAATTGTTCTCTCCTATAGGTCAATTCTTTTGTCATAGTGAATACATCCTTGTTCAACAAATTAAGTCATCAATGTTTCTCTCTCTTTCTATCTATAAAAAGAAGTACACTTGTTTCTTGTTTACCTAAGTAACACACATACTTAATTGGCTTTCACTGCCTGGAAAATTCTACAGGGAGATCACTCTCAAATATATTACCAGGAGGAGATTACTCTAACTGATCAATTTGCAAGTGAAAGGACCATATAAATTAAACTTTTTTGGGGGGTAACCATGCCTTGCCAATGTCCTAAATCAACACCAGTCATGTAATTTAAAAAAAAAAAACATCACTTCTGGTAAAAAGATTTTTTGAAGTCCTACTCTTCTCCTGAATTTTCTAGTGTCTCTCCATTGCCTTGTTAAACTTGGACAGCTCAATTTTAAAAATAATTTTTGTGTATCATTTCCTCAAGGTTGCTTTGCGTTAATTATTATCAGGTAATAGAAAATGTGCAGTTGTTCTATTGAAGTTATAATAATCAAGAGATTAACAGATATGCAGTGAAAAAGAGACAAAAGACAAACAGGGATCAAAAAGGCTCTCCCTTTATAACGGCAGTATGTTGCTGGTAAGGTTGCCTGATTATTGTGCAACAGATGTAGGAGTATAACTATACCACCGTCAATATAAACCAGCAGTGGAAGGTACCCATTGTTACTGATTTAGTGGAATAAAGGTAAATGTTGCAGGGACATCAGCTGATTCAGGGCCAAAGTGGCAGGAACATTTCAAAAGATAAAACAAATTTACAAGGTCAACAATTTGTCAACTTGGGAAAAAATTCATTATCTTATTTTGCTAGTGATGGCTCTGATAATTTTTTTAAAAACTGTTATTATTTTTTTTTTCAATCTTCAATGATAGCTTTATTCTGAAGATTTGAGACCATCTGTGAAGCGCACATGGATGCAATTGAGTTCATCCATGTAACTCATTTGACAAGAATATGTGCTTAAAATTCATTGTCAAAGCATTTTTAATCTTTAAAGGTGATTTTTAAATAATATATAAATGTAAAGAAATAAGACACATTATGTAACTGTTCAAACAACGTCCTGCAATGTGATATAACAAAGAAAATTCATACAATTGAGAAACACATTTGATTAAAATCTTTCAAATTTCATCTCCGGGTGACAATATTTTTGGTGACTTTACAGTGATCTTTGAAGGGTATTCTCCGACATCTGTAATTATCTGGACTTCCTTGTCAATTTCCCTCCTTTCATTTTCTTGTCAAGTATTCAGAACGGATGGTTGAGCACCTACCCAACCCTGTTACAATGAATTACGTACATCAGTGTCAAAATAAGGAACATATGGTTCCTGTATTACCTGAAATATCTATACCCTCATTGTAATTAACCAAACCATAGGGGGGCTACCAACATCCTCAAAGTATGCTAATCTTATGTAAATATTTCCAATATCCAAATGCTTGATAATACATAAAGATCCAATATGTCACATGTATAATTGATTTAAAGGGGGTTGAAAGGTAGGGTTGGGGGGTAAATATAATATTTTCTAAAATAATTTTTTTTTCTTCTTTTCCTTTAATCTGTATACATTTTTTGTGCTATTTCACAGAAGTCATGCTATTTTTCTTTTTTCTGTTTTAATTTTTCTTTTTAACTGTAAATAGTTGAAGACCTGGGATACCACACAATGAAATATCATACTTAATGTACATGATTTTTATCACTTTGTGGTTTACCACTACACCTTGTCTCACTAAATTATGAGGTCTGGAGAATTCCTCTTCATAATAAAATATTTAGATTAGAAAGCTATAATTATTGTCTTTAAAAGTACACTTCCCCTTCAATATACTGTAAATGTTATTGACTCAGACCTTCCCCCTTACCATGGTTACCTGTATGGTATATGGTACATGTAAATATCTCTTTACCAATTAGGACATTCCCCTTACCATCATTATCTGTATGGTCTATGGTTCTGACAAATATCCCGTTACCGACTTGGACTTTCCCTTTACCTAGGTCATCTGTATGGTCTATGGTGCCGGTAAATATTCGGTTCCCCACTTGGACCTTCCCCTTACCTTGGTCATCTGTATGGTCTAAGGTGCCGGTAAATATCCGGTTCCCAACTCGGACCTTCCCTTTACCTAGGTCATCTGTATGGTCTATGGTGCCGGTAAATATCCGGTTCCCCACTCGGACCTTCCCCTTACCTTGGTCATCTGTATGGTCTATGGTTCCGGTAAATATCCGGTTCCCCACTCGGACCTTCCCTGGCTGGTAATGTGGTCCATCCACTTTACCATCCTTGCATAGTTTGGCCAGTATCTGTGTAGGTTTCATAGGGTCCCTCCAGGCATTGTATCCAACACTAAATGTAAACAAGTATTTTCCTGTATTTGATACAAAAATACATTGAAGAAATGGCACAAAACATGTATTTTAAGGAAAAAGAACATGTTGAGTGAAAATAGAGGTTATACATTTACTAACCCCCCTCCCCTCCCCCCCCCCCCAAAAAAAAAAATCGGCAATAGAATACATAAATCATATCAATTAATTTTAATTCCTAATTAGTTTTATTTTAATTTGATTAATTTCAGATAAATTCATGCTAGACACCAAATTGGGTCTTGAATTGATCCCTTTTTTCAAGTTCATTTTTCAAACACGAGCTAATCCAATTTTTGTTGTGGTAGCAGCCAATATTAATTGGATAAAATTATGCCAATCGTTGACAATGACATCATAAATCTATGGAGATGAGGAGAGGCGAATGGGTACACTATGGAGACAGATTACACAACAACTCGTTATCATGAAGAGAAAAAGGATGCCTCCAATATGTCAGAAGAGATGAATATCTGTCATTTGGTGTAATTTCTATGATAATACCAGTGTTCAATCATTCAATTACCTCACAGTTTAAAAAAGACTAAAGAAAGCTACGTGATTCCGTAACTGTGTATCTGACGAGCCTCTTTCCTGCTTAAGCTTGTGCTTGCCTTTGATAAATGAAGCCTTCAGCTGATGTTAAGAAATAGCTTACTCATAATGTCATAGAACCAGCCAAGTCCAAATGACTTGTCGACTTAGCATGCAAGGAACCATATTTCCATTCCGCAAAAATACATTAAGGCAACAAAGACTCGATTTCTTTTTACTCAAATAACAAATTGTAATAAATTTAATCTTGTCAAATTGAACCCCAGTGAATTAGATAACAATGATTCTTGCAAATGCACTGTTCTAAATAATTTCATCATCAACCTCCAGATCTTGTCTAAACATAATGCCAGTGTCCTATGAATCACATAATGTGCTACAAATGCTTCATCTTTCCAGTTAAACCTGTTCTTATTTGAAAAACCACACATGTCATGAATTTTTATTAATAATTTTTTTGGAATTTAAATGAAGGCAATTCTAAAATACCACTATCACATATCAAATTGGTGTCTTTTTATGCATCTGTAAATAAACTTCTTTTTAGGGAAACAAAATGGCCTTTTAATCCCATCTGAAATTTTAATTCCAAGAGAAAGTTACTTGTCCATCTTTGAAAACAAAAAAATAGAGAAATAAATCTCAGATATTTTTCTCCACTTTGGATTCTGCCTACTCCAATGATTTTTCAGGGAACCAGTAATATATAGTTTGGAAAAAATTTATCGCATCATGCTAAATGTTTGCCACAAGTTTACAGAGAGTACCAAAGTAGATATACATGAAATATACTGTAGAAGTACTTTTTTCTGCGTGGTATTAATTTACGCTATGTACGCAGTTACAAATTTTCCGCGTAAATTTGTCCAAGCATACTTAATATAAATGTAGGGCAATTAGTGACAGGCTTGGAAATCCGCATAAATTTCTACATGCGGATTAAACAGAAATTGAGATTCCGCGGAATTATGACCCTGTGGAAAAAAGTATGTCTACAGTACAAGACCTATAATAGCAACAGACTTACTGGTCATATTTAGCGGAGATGCCACATATCGCCCTGTGTCGGCTGTAGTAGCGATTCTCCAGGTCAATCTTGGTCTCTCCGATGAGGTCATCCATTCCCACCAAGTCCCAGTCGTAGATCTGCACAGTAAGGAACGACTCCATCGGAAAGGTACTCTCAATTTCAAAGCATCTGCAATAAAAATTGTATTTTGTTCTGAAAAATTTGTTAGATGTTGATTGCTGTAAACACAGAATTTTGTTTTTTTAAGTTCAACTTTTGTCCTTCTTCGAAGTTTCATCCAAATACAAAAACAGGCCTCACCATGTCTCATTTGATTGGTGATTGATTTCGCATTTATTTGTTCTCAATTTTTGACCATAAATCTTATGAATATTAGAGAGGAAATAAATGAACATACAGTAAAACTTGTCTAAGCTGGACATCCAGGAGAAATTCCTGAATTAGATGATACAATACTGCTGATTAGACAATATTTCAAATAATTAAATTCATTGAAAGGAACTTACAGGTATTCATAGTAGGCAAGATATCAGAATATGCAACGTTGGGATTAATAAAGTTTTACTGTAGATGCGCTTTTACGGTTCATATGCAAACTTCATTATAATCAAACTCTGTGGGAGAGGAGAAACTTAGAGATATCCGAGGTGTTGATGAAACTATAATAAAATATTTGAAATCTAAATAGGAACAATAGCTGTAAGCACAATTTTTATTATTTTCATTGAAATTGTTAAAAACTGATGTATTTTAATTATTACACAGTACCATTATAATTAAACAATGGTGCAGCTGCTATGCTGATTATAAGTGGCATTGTAAAAAGGAGACAAGACAATTCTGAGAAAAACTTTTGAATAAAGTAATTTTTTTTGTTAATTAAATCAAGGATTAAAAATTTATCCAAAATGACACTTGAAAAAAAAAATTACATCCTTGATATCAAATTTATATATAAACATGAGAATTCAGCCTCAGATAATCAATATCATGAGTATCAATTACATTAAATTATCATTAAAAAGAAATAAAAGTATATTGAAATTTATTGAGACATTAAAAAAAATAGATTTCCATAGATCACCACAGGGGGCTTAATTGTTGGATCCGTAAATGGATATTTTGATCGTTTGAATCCATTTTTTTCACTGCTTAATAACTGCCAAGTTGAACCTATAGGCAATCAAATGGGTTTGAAGTTTGTGGGTATTGTTAACCTATTTTCCTCCCCCTAAATCTGAATGTTTTGAAAATGCAGACAAATGGGGTAGAAAAAGATTGTCTCTGATATTTCGACACTGTTCAGTCTTATTTTTAAAAGAAAAATAAATCTGTATAGATGCAGATTTGCAGAGCCTTTACCACAAAATCTTCCAAAACAATGAACGCTCATCTGCCCGTTAATGAAGTGAAGACACTGGGATATACAAACACAATGAAATCTGATCGGAAGACTCTTTGACGCAATTTTCCATTAAATTAGAAAAATGTAGGGGTCACCCCTGCCCATTCAGGAGAAATACAAAAAGAAAGAAAAGGTTAACATTGCAGCAAAGGAATATGTCTTCCGTACTTTTAATCTATTCAAGATACGAAATTCTAGACAGAAACTTGATATAGCAATTTCGGTAGCGTCTTCAAAAAATTGGGTAAAAATGAATGATGTTTTTTTACTGAAGGAGAAAGAAATGCAAAATATTGGTCATGTAAGAATCTAAGGTCAGGAAAGTGGTCACATATAAATGATTGGACGGCTATAAAATGATCGTACACCTGTTGTACAACACGCAATATACACATCATATGATACACGAAACTGAAACAACCTTTGGTAAACGTACATATAAATTTCAGCGAGAACATTACAAATGAAATTGTCATCTAGAATTGGACCACAGATACAAGATGGCTGAAGAATATCAAGTTGTTAAAACTTTCCACAATCCTCCTGCAGTGGAAACCTTTGTTAAATATCCCAAGTGTTTATGGACTAACAATTTTACACTCTTCGACTATATAAAAAGCATTAAGCCTTTTTAAACTTTATCAGATTAGGTTCATTATTTCAAAGAAATCATATTTTTACAGGAAAATAAGCACATGTATAACCTTAGTTAATCTAGTTTCTCAAATCCTTTTTTTAAAACAAAATAACAGGAATTATTTTACCTTTTTAATTAAGAGGAGATAAAATTTAAGCAAATTTATTACATATTCTTTCTTTACAAATTATTAAATAAATTTCAAATGTATAATTCTTTTTAGAAATTTTAATTCAATATATATCAAAAAGATTTCCAAACAAATTTGTCATATTACTGGTAATTTAAAAGATAATAAAACACAGTAAATAAATTTTTTTTTCATCCACCATGAACTCATAAAAAATCTTTTAAAATAACTACTAAGTTCTTTTTCATCATAATTTAATTGACAGTAAAACTCAAGGAAGTGTATATAAAAACCCCATTAAAAAAAGAAATCAATAAAGCAATGCTATAATTTTTTTATTATGGCAATGAATTTTCAGGTTTATTTTTGCATCTATTAATTTTGTTTGTTTGTTTTAAGTAAATTTTAGGAAAAAATATAGTAATCTTAATTTTTTAAAAAATTACTATAATAGCAAATAAATGTGGGGGGAAAAAAAAGCCATTTCATTTTGTAATAATTCCTCCTTGTGTCTGGAAGAAATTCTGGAATGTTGAGGTTAAAATAATTACTGGTATAGCATTGACGCTGCTAGTACTGTAGGTCCCCCACTGATAAGAACACATCAAGTGCCTGTTCTCCGCTAAATAATTGGACCAAGATCCTTAAATATTCCCTGGTTTTCATGTTCATTTCAATTCTGCAAGTCAATCACATTTGTCAGATCTGTTTTTATAAACAACGCTGTTTTCTCCTTCCAGTAAAAAAAAAAAAGATAAATCTAGAGCAATAAATATTTTTGAGCAGATTTTTTTCACTTTCTTTTTCTTCTTATTTTTCAAAATAATGCAAAGTTTTTGATTAATCAATGAAATTGACAAATGAGCATCAGTATAAAATTATCATAATTCTCTTGCTTTTAAAATTTATAATTGATTACGATTCCTGAAATTTCATCCTGTTTTGAATTATCTATGACAAAGATCAGAGATGTTACTGCATCAACCCCGATATCTATTGTGTTGTCAATATCTAGAAAAATATACGAGGGGCACGTGTAAATAATGTCACTGAAGTAACCGAATCAAGCGGAAAGATGGAGCGCGATATACCACTCTTAAACCATGACATAGTGTTTTCAAATTGTAGCCTATTTTCTGAAGGAGTGAATCTTCCCATTCAACAATTAAATTATTATCTTCTTTGAAGTAGATATATAAATCTTAGCTGAACTCTTGCTTTTATCTACTAGACAAGAGGAATTCTACCGAAAGCTTCCATGCATAGTTCGACAAGGCATATTGCTGCAATTTTGTGTATGAAGAGGCTTAATCAGGCTTAACTTGGCTATTAAAATCCAATTTCCAAACTTGATTTACCAAGAGTGGACACTCATTAATTGCAGATGTGTCCCAACCTTCCCACTACATTTTCCTGAGAACCAAAGTTAATCTGATATGACAGCTAACTTTTGGTCTATTATACATCCATAAACTTCACTTGTTCATATAATCATGCAGAGAGAGAGGGAGAGAGAGAGAGAGAGAGAGAGAAGGTGGATAGATTAAAAAATTGATGAATCAAAAAATTTGGGCTCCTATGTGTGAACTCCTATGGTCTCGGTGAATGTTGTTCTTCTTAGGTGACTTAAGCATTTTACAGATTTCATATTTCATGCATTTTTTAAAATTTAAAGAGAGAGAATCTGTCTATGCCAAATATTTTTATACTGCAATTAAAATCTATTTAACTATTTATAAAAGGCTTACAATCCTAATATACATGTTTTCAAATTTCGTGTCTTGGGTATCTCATACATAAATAACCAAAATCATCTTAATTGCAAATTAAGAGTCAAATCAAGGAAAAAATATGAATGTTCTGTAGTTCAGAATTCTCGAAAAGCTTTACTTGAATACTTCTTCGAAATTACCTCAATTAGGTAGATGCATGGATATGAGCCAATAAATTTAATAAAGAAACCTTTAGGCAATTTACTATTTTCAAAAATATAAGATAAATTAAAATTTTGAAAAATGAACATAAAAATATGCATTATAATTTGATGTATTAAAATTCACAAATTGGATGAATTAAAATGTAGGGATCACATGCAAATTTAAGAGATTAATCTTTTTTCTAGAGATTTTTTCAAGGGAAAATATCTTTTATAATTAACACCAAATGTTAATTAAAGGATTTAATATTCTATCCATATAATTCATTTATTTCAAGTTAATTGACCTCATTAATTGTCTTTTAAACTCATTTTATAAGCATTATTTAGTTGAATATATATACATGTATTAAAAACAGTAAATGTCCTTCCATTATAAATCAAAAAAACATAAATACTTTAAAAAAAAACCCGTAAAAAATGACAAAATGATCACAAAAATGTCTTCATCCCAAAGAAAAAAAAGTCTCATCATAATGACTATCTTCTGGAAAAAGAAAAAAAAAACAAAACACCAATATGCATTAAAACACACTCTTGGTAATTTTAAACAACTTACTTCCCAAACACGGGGTTGAGTTGTTTAGAGACATAGTTCTCTTTGTCGTTGATGGTCGTACTTCCCAGTCGTATCACCATGTAGGGGTCAGCCTTCCCATTCAGATCTGCTGGATGCAAATCGTTGGCCTACAACCAGAATATATAATGCCAGTTTGATACTGTGTAAATCCATGAAACTCTAACACTTGATAATCTGAACGGATAATTTGAAGATCAAATTTTAACTCCTTATTCTCAAGTTGCGGCAGATGTACAAAACTTTAGCAACCGAAAACTGCTAATTATCACACTACTATGAAATTATGGCTAGAAAAAGAAGGAGGCTATCATACTTGATAGATAATAAAAAATATGCACTATAACACTCAAATTCCATTTGTTCACATAAAATAAATTATTCTGTGCAAGAAAAAGAGCAATGGGTTTTCTATTCAAAGAAAGACAACTCTTGCTAAAATACTGCATTGAACAGAAGCTAAAATACTCAATGAACAAAAAATAACGACTCAAAAATCTAAGTTGTGGTCGATGATAAAATTTCTGAAATTTGATTTTTTTTTTCAGATTATATAGGTCAACAATAAAAAACACCGAGATTTATTGAATATTAATTTTAGAATACAGTACAACTCAGTTATGTGGGACTCCGATATAAGGAAAATCTGAAATAGGGACATTTACTTCTTTCCCTCACATCATAACTCTTACACAAAATTAATATAAAGCTAAAGTTATAATGAGGATTTGTAAATTCATGTCCAAAAGGATTTCTCAAAAGTAAGTTGCGTATTTTCAGAGTATACTCCTGGCCTTGTAGTTCTCAAAAGCTTACCTTAACAATGTAGATTCTGACCAGGACTTTGATTGGATCATTGCTGGGGAGTCCCTGAAAGAGGCCACAGGTGGGGTCTCCTCCAGTTATCGTGGTGTCCTCAATATCGTCAGGTAGGGGTATCTTGTAGATTTTCAAGGATCCCTAAGATACCAACAAATGTTCTTGTTACTGGTATATTTTCTGTTCTAAACATATATAATTTAAGCCTATGATGCAAAATAGAAAATGTGTTCATATACATATATTAAAAAATATTCATAATTTCTCCTCTATTCATTCTTGATTATAGGTTTCACACAATTACAATGGTTCTAGTCTGCTGACCTTGAACTTTCCCACAATACGACTTTCATCTGTGTCCTCTGTGGCCGACTTTTTCCCTCTGTATAATTCAAAAGTGTGGAGCCAGTCCTTAAATCCATCAAACTCAGCCTGCCCCTCCAGTTCATTAGGGTACACCTAAAATGACAAGACAGTATAATATCAACTGTAAGTACCCCATACAAATTATAACACATGGCCTAAAAAGAAAACAGTTTACTTAAATTTTTTAACAAGAAACTTTGGACTGATTCAAAGAATATTGTTCTATGACTAATTTGTATAAAGACAACCAGAAGTACTGATTAATAAAATTTAGGTAATGACTTAGTGAATTGTGGTATGACTGAGAACCCATTATATACTTTTGTTTTCATGTGTTCACAGTAATGGTGAAGCACCAATAGCTCCGAAAAAGAATCATACAGTAAAGTCATTAAACATACTTAAAAACACACAGATACGGACGATTTAATTTAAGTAATTGTAAATCTTGTAATTTAAAAATATATTATATGAGATTATTTGAAAGGATCAGCCCCTCTTTGGGACTTATCACGATTTTGAGTTTTAAGACTTGGATTTTTTCCTTGTATGCACATATATGTATGCTCCGCAGGACAGAACTTACATTATAGTACAGACAAATAAGTGTGTGCAGTAGAGCAAGTGTTAAAAGTCTTCTATAATGTGTCCACTCAGCAAAAATTTAAAACTTCAATTCCTGATTATTTGTGAGAAATGCCTTATATCTCAGGTTCCATTCTTAACATAATTATGTGTTTTAAAAGAATTTGCGTTCGTTTTGTTTCAAATCCCCTGTAAAAAGTTCTTTTCAATGCATTGCCAGCTCTACTGGCATTAACCCTTTGTGTGCGGGAACCCAGTATATTGGGTCTGACGTCACAAACGCTTGCGTGCGGGAACCCAATATGTTGGGTCTGAGTCTGGAATTAGCGCTTCGTCACATAAAACGTCGTATAAAACGTATAAATGAGTTGTGAATTATTCAGAATCTATCAATATGTATTATAAAACTACAAAACATTGTAAAATAGGTAATTAAAATGTGAAAATATGCGAATTATTTGTGAAATGATGATTTAAAGTGAAGGTGTTTGGCGTTTGTTACGATGAAAGTCAGTCCGCTATTTTTGGAAACAGGGAAAAAACGCGCATGTTATAAATATCTTCTAACTTGCTCTAATATAAAGGAAAATAAAGAAATAAATCCAAAAAAATAGTTAAATATCAATAATTCTAATAAATTTGTGTTGTAGACATAAAGTTAATAAGAAATTGACGATATTTTGGGAGAAAAACTCTGGTTAACTTGACTTGACCTTAACCTTGCGAAGTTTTTCCTGTTAAAACGAAAGTAGAATGCACATGCTACTGAACTTCAGTCTGAAGCATATCGAGAGCTTATATGGTTGGCAAAGTTTTATATTTTAGACATACGGTGGTTATTATTTGTTTATTTGGTGTTTTGTAAGTAGACATATATTACATCGTCTAAATGAAAACAATAATGCGCGAGATTGAACCTGGCAAGTCACAGACGTTTTTCTTTTCCTCAGTGGCTGTGCACGTTGTTTACATACGTAAATCAAGCTTTGCTTTGATATAAACGTTTGCAATAAATAATTTGAAGCATCTTGTTAATTAAAAGTATCTGTTTTTTTAACAATAAATAAAGAAATAAATAAGTAAACAATTTTTTTTAATCTAAAGACCCATTTCAAAAATGTTGAAAGATAACAAAGGTTCCACCTAATAAAAGTAATAAATGTGGAGGGCCTTGAACACTATAGAAAATTTTCCAATGAGTAATTGCATTGATAGGTAAGTGCAAAAGAGATATATAGAGAATATATATCCATCAACATATTTTTGTGATCAAGCAAAATTAATTCATGATGCATGCAGGTATTCGAAATATACACAATACTAGTTTTATAACTGACAATCATGGAGTCAATTAAGTGGCCATAATTACACCTAAAATTTCTGGTTTAAAGCTGCTTGATGTTTCATCTATTTGGGAAAATTTTCAAATATTTTTTATAACAGTATATGATATATTGTAAAAATTTTAGCACAATTAAAATTTAAAAATAAACTTGATATTTTCTATATAGTGTCTTCAAATGTAAGCTAGTAATCAGAAAGATACATTGATACATTTGATCATGTGCATATATATGAAAATGGTAAAAAGTGATGAAAAAATTTTGAAGTGCTAATTTCCCCTGAAATGACTGTCATTTGTGTAAACTGTGGTATTTGTTTTATTTCAGTAAGTAATAAAATACCATTTTTATTTCCTTGATGAGGATTTTATAGACTCTCGATAATTTCAAAACCAATATATGTTCCTGGATCTTTGGTATCTTGGCGTTTAAGATTTCTTCAAGGCATTTACATACTCTAGTTTGCATGGGACCTAATTAGTAAGTGAAAATAATTGGTACTACATGTATCAGAATTCTTTTCTAAACCAAGTTTAAGAACATCAGGGAGACATTTTCTTTTTCTTTAAAATAGACTCTTGCCAGAATAAAGCACGTGGATTAAATTGCACGTTTTCTCCACTTTTTATCTCTATTTTATTTAAAACCAAAAACAGTGAGACTGCCCCAACCTATACATGCACACACAAAATTTTAAAATTCACTGGTTAAATAAATGGTAAGTCTACAGTTTAAAATCAAGATGAATTGTCATTTTTGTAGGCATAAGAAGGAGATCAGAGTCTTTTGAATTTGTAAATTGTATGGACTTGCATGTAAATCTGTTCGATAAATTACAATAAAGACTGGGTAATACAGCAAAACTCGTTTAGTATGAACACAAATATTGCGAATTTACAGATATAGCGAAGTCAATTTGGATACCCAGCAAAATAAATTTAATTGATTTTTTATACAGTTATAACGAATTACAGATATTGTGAAGTAATTTCATAGGTCCCAGTGACCTCGTTATAACCAAGTTTTACTGTAGGAATTGTACTTTTCAAACTCAAAAGTACACACTGTACATGTTTTTACCTATTAATATGTAATATGTCCTCTAGTTTACAAATTTATAAGGCCCAAGAAGCTTCTACATTCCATCCCTTCTAGATATGTAATAGTAAGATAGATACATTTGATATAAAAGATAATTGTATATGCCTGAATGAATACAGTAAAAAAGCTAAGATTTACTGTGAGAATTTTTTTTAATGTTGGTCAAGAAAATTTTTCAAAAATGCAAATTCCTATATACAATTACTTACCAACAAAGATTACATTTTGGTCTCCAAAGATATGTTTATTTTTAAATATGAAAATGTGAATAGTTGCTTAGAATACAAGGAAATCCCATAGTGGAAATAAAATATATATATTATTATTAGGAATAATATTTTATGTTGAAGTAAAAATTCAGGCACATTCAAAACTTGTGTAACAGAAAAGGAGAAGATGTATGGTAACTATGGTTGGACCAAGAATTGAACTCAGGAACCCTGCTTCACTAGTCAGATGCTCTACCGAATGAGCTACCGAGGGTGATACCCATAGCACAAACATTACATATCCCTCCTTAAAGTTATCTTTATCCTTGCAGACACAACCCAAATTCTTATCAGCCCCTGACAGGACTTTCACTTGCAAAGCCAGAGGGGTCAATAGCATCAAATCTGTAACAAGGAAGGAGAAAATGCATGGCTGGACCGTGAATCTAAGAAGGGGCCCCTGCATCACTGGTCAGATGCTCTACTGACTGAGCTTGCTTGGCCTATATCCATGACCCATACCATTACACTTGCATAAACTTAAAAGTATTTCATAATATATTGATTGATATTACGGTACATATCTGTCAAACATCATTAACTAAAATCAATTGAAAAATATCAAAACTGTTATTCACCAGTGACCACATTGAACAAAGTAATTTTTGAAAACATTATAAATGACTGTTAAAGGTGCTTAAATTTCTAAAATTTAAAATACTAGTTTTCCTGCTGGCAATTATTGTTGCCAGCTAGGAATAAAACTTCTAATATAAATGCCACATTTCTTACAGAGTCAGAAGTACTGTGGAAGGAAAGTTGATGAATATATTAACTTTACAAAAAATACGGAGAAATGCATTTTCTTCAATAAAAGCAAAATAAAAAAAAAAAGAAATTGAGAATTACTAGAGTATATTTAGGGCTGTTAGATACCAGTCATTAGAAAATAAGACCTCTATAACTTAGTGTAAATGTTTTTTTTTTTTTGTTTTTTTTTTTAATTTATTTAACATATTGACTGCTTTAATTTGAAAATGATACTACTAACTAGCAATTAGTTCATTGTTGTGCCAATTTGCTCCAAGATTTCCCAACCTCGAAAACTGCATATTCTTTGAGGATCACACTTTCTTATATGATGCTATTATGCCAATATTTCTTAAAATAATCACTGGTTTTATAATTACAGGCTAATTGAATCTTCAATTTATACTCTTTTTAGTTAAAATCTGAAAAAAATCCATTAACTTAAATCAGAATTCACTTAAACCTACATGAATATATCCCTTACTCAGATAAGTATACAATGACTTTTCACAACATAATGGTATACCGGTATATAACATTGACTTTATCATTGAGTTATTGTTTAAATAATTTTTTTTTTTACATAATATTAAACTAAAATTGAATTTTTAAAGCAATTAATTTATTTCTTTTCATCAAAGTGCAATATTTTCTCTGAAAAATATAGTTTTAAATGCTAAAAAGTCATTTTAAAATATATTTTTTGAAAATTTGGTTTCCATGGCAACAGAAAATATTAGATTTCTAAAAAAAATATTATAGATTAAGAAACACAACATTTGCTATATATTTGCCTAATTTCAAGCAAATTGGTTGTCAACAATTTTAGATATTTGCATTTTAGTACACCATTGTGATAATTTTGTTGATATTACAAAACAACTCAGTCCTGAGGTTACAGCGCGCGTAAAACAAGTCAGCACACAAAGGGTTAAATTCAACATGTAAGGAGAAAAATGCTTTATCCTCAGAATACATTCCTTAAGTATATATATATATCTCATGCACACAAAATCTTCATTCTATGTAAAATTTTGGAAATCATTCACTCAAATTCTGCTATACAATATGGAACATAAAACATGCCATTAACAACAGCAAGCAAACATGGCCATGCTCCTACCTTGAGCTCAGACTCGAGCTTTCTGAACTTCCTGGCGATTTGCTTCTTTTTCTTTTTGTCTGAATCAGCTTCCTCCTCCGACATATCGAAAGCCGAGTTTAACAGACCCAGTCCAGATTTGATGTTCTGTCACACAAATAAGGCACACAAACAACAGTTATCTAAGCATGCAACAACACCCACTACCAACAACAGCAATACACAGATCTGTTATACTCGAATATGAACTATTTCAATAAGCTTCATATAGCTCTTTGGTCATAAAAGTTCCAAAATGTGGAATACAGTAGGATCTTATTAATCCAAATATGTTTAAAACAGACTAATTGGTTGTAAAAACCTATTTATTTACAAATGAAGGGAAAATCAGGAATACAATAAAAACACATCAAGACGAAAGAACTTTAGTAGATGCATCCACCGATTTTCTTTTCTAATCATCATAGTAAATTTTCTTGCATATAAAAATAAGCAGAACAGTATTGAAGAATCAGAAAACCAAAATGGAGCTGACCAAAGAGCCATCCAATCTTATATTTCATGCATTAGCTAAAGCATAACAGCTAATTTCTCCCCAAGTACCTTTAGCTGTGCCACCGCTGGTGTGTTAGCCTTCTTCCTTTGAGCCTTTGGGGATAACCTGTTGGCCAGACTGACGGCTTTTGCCGCCCCTTTGAACGTCTTTTTCTGCTCGTCCTGTTTCTCCATTTGTTTCTCAAGTTTCTTGGCTTCTTTGGGGTTGTAATCTGGATCATCTGTAAAATTTGAAATTATAGTACTAGCTACATGCATACATCTTACTTTGTTTAAATATAACTGAACATTTTTCAAATCAGTGCAAAGAAAAAGATGACATTATATCCTTTTTATCTATAAGAGAAAGTGTGATTCAGGTGACTGCTTGAATTATCAATGTATATCTTAAAATAGGAATCCTTACTTAATCTATTTTATACAATGTTTTGTACTTGATTATTCATTCAATTCATCCTCTATGCCCTCTTACCGTCAGTTTGATTTTGCGCCATGTTACCCCCGACATTCCCCCCACTGATTGCTCCATACGGAGTAACAGATCGCGGCTCTGAGGTGTGATTGTCCATCCTGTTGTAAATGTCCAGGCTGTCATACTTATCCTCCCTGTTTCTCTCATGTTCCTTCAGAATAAAACATGTTGTTGATCAGAGTTACAGAACATAAAGAAATGTCCTGATAAATACTAAGATTAATGACTTAAAAACTCCTGCATGTCCAAAAAAAAAAATCTAAACAATTTATGACTTTCTGATATGACGTGATGTTCAGAACACCATATAAATGCATGTGTCTGAAATTCAAATAAAAGCACACTGCACTCATTGTCATTTTTCGTCTACTATGAAGATATAATGTAAAAAAAGATATATATCTTGTGAAATATTGAAATTAACAAGAGGTCCACGGGCCTTATAGGTCACCTGAGTATCATGTAACAACTTTCCAGCGATTGTATTTGGTTCATGTTTTAATCCAAAAGCCATGAAATTCACAAATTTTGAAAGAGGCACCATTGCTTATCAAAGGGCAGATTTCAAAGCATTAATTTATTTTTAGTCAAAGTACCCCCCTGGTACCACTGACCCAGCGGCCCTGAAATTATCTATTTTGAAAGAGGCCCCTTTCTTCATTATAAGGCCAGCATTTTTTTTTATGTTTAGGTTTAGTTATGAACATGAGAATAAGGAACTAAAAAAAATTTTGATAAATCAATTATTAACATTTGCACATTCTTTTTTTATGCTATTCTAATAGGTTCCTTACCACTGGACACATAATGCTTACAAATAGGAAAGTACAACATCTAATTGCTTATTTCATCATTTGCCAGTTTAGGCCAGTTATATTAATTTTGTGATGTTGGTCAAAATATATTTTAAAAAATCAGTTCTTTAAAAGTCTTTCAATATATCTTCATTTTTTTAATATGTGTTAGGTGAATGTGTAGACATTGTTCTAAAATTTACTTGATGCCTAAAATTATAATTCCTATCATAAAACAGACAGGGAGTATTGGGGATTAGGGTGAACATTTTTTCAATTAAGTGTAAAATAATTTTTCTGGCTGATACAAATGATACTACATGCCTGTATATATATTTGTATATTCTTGCCTTTTAATAGTTGAATTTTTTTTTTATTTCTTCAGGTTATTGTTTATTTCTTCCTCAAATGGACTTAACTTCTCCCATAGTTTTATTCATTATATCTGATGCATAAGCAACCCTTTTCTGAAGAATGATGCTTAGACTGTAAGCTATAACAGAGACCTAAACAATGTCGCTGGCAATATGCAATAGCTACCACCGGCAGTTTAAAACCTGGGGGAGGAAAATAATTTACAGACAAATACTTTTGAAACGAATACATAATTATCTCACCAGCATGTCATTGTGCAACAAAGTCGTCAGCATTTTATTTGTCCTTTGAACGGGTGAAACGTTTTAAATGGCACTCGTATCGATGAATTTTACACTAAACCAAGCTATCTTCTCAGCTTTATTTACCCGCCGTTTCATCTTACAACCGGAAGTGCGAGTTCGTAAATTTGAAATCTCGATCCCGACTCAAATTTGACATCGGAAAGAAAAAAATTTAATTTTTTTCTGAAAATTCAAAACCTTGAGCGGAGGGTTTGTAAAACTGAAAATAAAATAAATCCTGGCCTTAAATATGTACATGTAATTAGATCATTAGCATATTAGCCAGGAGCAAAGGATAAGATGTTCAAAGAATTCATGCATTTCACTATATAATAATTAGAGCCCCACCCTAAAACAAGAACCCCTGACCCTGGGGCCATAAAATTCAAAATTTTGGTAGAGGCACTCTTGCTCATCATAACTATGTACTTAGTTTATTTAATACACAGGAGCAGAGAAGAAGATTTTCAAATAATTCATGTTTTTTCACTATATAACCAATAGAGCCCCGCCCTAACACCAGAACCCCTGACCCTGGGGCCATAAAATTCACAATTTTGGTAGAGGCACTCTTGCTCATCATAACTATGTACTTAGTTGGTTTATTTAATACCCAGGAGCAGAGAAGAAGATTTTCAAAGAAATAATGCATTTTCACTACCTACTTATTTAGCCCCGCCCTAGCACTAGAACCCCTGACCCCAGGGTCGTGAATTTCACAATTTTGGTAGAAGACTCATTGCTGATTACAATGATGCAAACAGTTTGACTGCTTGATGTCCAGGAGTAAAGAAGAAGATTTTTAAAGATTTCATTACTTTTAGTGGTTTTGGCCCCACCCCTCAGGCCCCAGGGGGGCAGGGATCATGAAATTCACAATTTTTGTTCCCCTTCACCCATAGATGCTTTGTGCCAAATTTGGTTGAAATTGGTTCAGTGGTTGCAAAGAAGAAGCTGAAAATGTTCAAATGTTAACACACGATGGACGACGGACGACGCACGACGACGGACGAAAACAGATAGCAATAGGTCACCTGAGTTTACTCAGGTGACCTAAAAATAAAACATTTGTAATTCTAATGAATGTGAGCAGCTTTATGAAAAGATGAAAGCTTACAACAGATAAAGATCATAGAGAGAAATAAAAATAAGACACACAAGTAGCTCAAAGATAAAAGAAAACATGAAAATACAGCAGAAAAAAGTCAGGAAATTTGTATAGATGTTGGAAGTTTTTATTGGTAGACAGCTTCATTCTGATTCCCACCTTATAAACTGAGAAGAGTTACAACTGCAAGTCTCTGATGAGAATGTAACTCTACTGGGTTTCACTTTAAATTGTAGCATTAATCTTTTTATGCCGTACCGGTAATTGAAGATTTGGGCAGTATAAAGTGTTTACACTGTTCATCTATCTTTCTGTTTGTCTGCAAAACTTTAATCTTACCAATAACTTTTGAAAGGCCTGGGCTATGTCTTTCATATCTCACAGGTGTATTCCTTGTTAGAATACCTTTTAGGGGAACCATTGACTTTGACCTTTAGACCTTGAAGTTTGACCCACTTTTGCAAACAAGAGGCCCATGGGCCACATTGCTCACCCAAGTAAATTGATTTCCCCTCTTGTAATGCCTATTGTGACCCCCCCAGGGGTCATGATTTGGACAATTTAGAATCTGCACTTCCCCAGGATGCTTGCACATAAGTTCAGCTTTTCTGGCTTAGTGCTTCTTGAATCTTGAGAAGAAGAATTTAAAAGATTTTTCCTATATATTTTAATGTACACCTTGGATTCCCTATTGCAACCCTGCCCTACTCTCTGGGGTCATGATTTAAACAATTTAAAATCTACACTACCCCAGGATGCTTCCATATAAGTTTCAACTTTTCTGGACCAGTGCTTCTTAAGAGAAGATTTTTTAACGATCCCATCCTATTTTTGTCTTTACTTGATTATCTCACCTTGTGAAGGGACTTGACCCTTCATTTTAACAATTTAAACTCCCCTTCACCTAGGAATGGTTTGTACCAACTTTTGTTAATATTAGCCCAGTGTTTCTTGAGAAGAAGTTGAAAATGTCAAAAGTTTACAAACAAACAGAAGGATGGACAGACGATGGACATCAGAAAAGCTCACTTGAGCTTTAAGCTCAGGTAAGCTAAAAATGACCAAACTTAAACCTTGGCCATATCTTTTGAACAGTTAATGCTAAAGCTTTCATACTTCACATGTATTCCTTGTGACAAGACCTTTCAAGGGGTATAAATGTTTTGGACTTTTTGACTTTGACCTTACAGTTTGAACCTCTTTTAAAAAAACTTTGGAACATTCTACAAAAGTACAGGTACACACTCAGTATAAAACTATATTATTTGTTAGATGAGAGAAAAATTTGTGAGAAGATCGAAGACTTTTGGATATTTCCTGCACAAAAACATGATTAAATTTATGCATCTCAAAGAAGTTTTTTTTTTGTACCAAAATATAGTGAGATTAGTTATTAAAACTGCAGGAAAAATAGCAATTTATTTCATTTTCAGTATCCATTCAAACTTTCTTTACTATAGTTAAAAAATCAATTTTTTGGTCACAGAAAGTTTGCTTCATCATGTTAATTTTTGTTACCACAAGCTCATGCTTCAAACTGACCAAAAATAGTTTCTATGCTCTTAATTTTAGTTAATTTTGAAAAAAAATGCCAAATTAGTGATCAATACTCTAAACAAGTGGCATCTGGTTATACATAAAAATACATGATATTTTGGGAAGTTCATTAAGTTTCCCTTTCCCCTAAAAAAAACTCTTGTCCTTGCAAAGTAGTATCATGGCCTGCATTTATTCGAAATATCAAACAATGAGTTTACTACCATATTATTTAAAAGAATTTTTTTTCAAATAAACTGTTATAATGTCAGAAATTTGTTTATATTAAAATAACAATTAAAATTACTTCACACAGAAAGGTTAGTTTAGTTCTAAATGTATCAGCTAGAGTTTGTATGGAGATCCAAGAGTCTAAATGTTAGCATTAGTCATTACCCACCATTTGATTTGCAGGTTTTTTCTTCTGCAATGTAATGATAACAATGGCAAAGTAAATACCATATAAAATACACCAAAGCAACATAAATCAGCATGGATGTGGTTACCATAAAAGTGCATAAACGTAAAAGCAAAGTCTTGACAGCCATTTTTGAAATCATCATTAGAGGTATGTTTTACCATATTCTGGGTATACATGGAGCTTTGACCTTTATCATTTTATTCATTCATTAAACTAAATATTCAAAACAAAGTGGATAATAAATGTCAAAAAATAATGAACGATAAAAAAATCAAAAATTTCAAAAAAAGCTTCCTCCTCCAACTCGCAGCTATTGCAAGCATGTTATGATTTAAGTCTTAAAGCTGAACACGATTCGTAAAAGGAGTGTGTCCGCCATTTTTGTTCCCGATTCTCGCTACTCTGCAAACCCGTATATAAAGGGCAAAAATTGGTCACTGTTCAGTGTAATGAGTAGACACCGGTGTAGACGGACGTATGCTATACAGGACTCGGTAGCGAGAAGAATAACGTATTATTTCGTCTAATGCAGGAAAGTAAGATACCAAATAAATTTACAATTATAGTTGTACAGGTCAGTGCAGTATACAAACAACACAGATACACATAACTCCTATAAAATGTAAATACAGGTAATGCAAGATAACCAGCACGAACACGGGTCGCCATTCCACGCCGATACCCGTGACAATAAAGCAGTCAGGTATGACTAATGCGACGAGTATACCTAGTGTTCATGTATCGTAGATAATGATATCGAATAAAAGGACTCTGTCCAAGTTATGACAAAATAAGAGGACTCTGTCCAAGTTATGACAAAATAAAAGTATTCTGTTCAAGTTATGACAAAATAAGAGTACTCTGTCCAAGTTATGACAAAATAAGAGAACTCTGTCCAAGTTATGACAAAATAAGAGAACTCATCAAAGTTGTGACAAAATAAGAGTATTCTATCCAAGTTGTGACAAAAGAGTTCTCTGTTCAAATTGTGACTAAATAAAAGTATTCTGGACAAGTTATGACAAAAGAACAGTATTCTGTCCAATTTGTGACCAAATTAGAGACTCCGTCCAAACTGTGACAAAATAAGAGTACTCTGTCCAAGTTATAACAAATTAAGAGTATTCTGTCCAAGTTGTGACAAGAGTTCTCTGTTCAAATTCTGACTAAATGAAATTACCCTGGACAAGTAATGACAAAACAAGAGTGTGAAATATTTGTGTTTTGAGACCCCCCCCCCCCTTATATGTCACATGTGTATAATTATTTGTAAACATTATTTGTACATGATTTCTCTTATAGCAATTATAAATGAACTGTAAACATTACCAAGTGTACTATAAAACGATGTTTGGTACTTCCTATTATTTCATGTTTGGTAAATCCTACACTTTCATGTTTGGTAAATGACCAAGTTTACCACGGAGGAAATATGGACTGATACGTAAAATTATAGACTCTTATGATTGAAACAGTATTTATTATGAATGTTTATTTCATTTAACTTACAGTTCAGGTTGTAAAATGATCGTAAATACCGTTTTTCATGTGTCTGTCGATCGGGTTGTTTTCCTTTTTGGTCATGGCGATTCGGAAGATTCTAATTTACACGGGGGGGTTAGGTTATTGTACTTCGTCCTCGAACGTCATTATTTTATAATTGTTAACTTATACGCAACTTGTATTGTACATTTTTATGCAACTTACCTTCATTGTTTATTACTATGTATTTGTTTTACGATTCGGCGTCACATTGTTCGTATTTTTCATGGTTTGTCCCACTTCGGCGATGTTGTTAGTATCGTCTGCCATTTTGGTCTACACTTTCATTTTGGTTAGGTAAAGCGCACTGCGCATGTCCGGTAGTTTACCCTATATAAGCGTCGCCACGGATGCTGAGGTTTCAGTTTGACTCTGCAGAGCGTCTGCGCAACAACTTTCATAGAAATTGTACGTAAATACTGATATAACTAACGAATGGGGAGTTTTTACTATAGATTATATTGACCAAATAGGTTTATTAAGGAATTCAACAGTCTCTACGAAGATTTACCATTGTTTACATTTGACCAAATTGAATTATTAAGGAAAATCAACAGTCATCATTTTACCAAATCATAATAACGTTACCAAATCATAATAGCATGACCAAATCATAATATGTGACGTCCAATCTGACCAAATGTATTACATCACCATTGTTTATTTGGTTATCCAGTCATCTGTATTACAGTTATTCCTTCATTAAATTATTGCTGAAACTTTAATTATCTTATGTTGTGCTCTTGTTTGCCTCTGCAATGCAATATTTTACTGACCAACACAGGGATTTATCTTACCAAATCAACCAGGATTACTAATTAACAAATTACCAGGAAATACCATATATATTGGTTACAATGAAATATATCTCCTTAATTGGAGGTTTGATCAATTATAAAAAGCCTCATACCTCGGGCACGTTACAGAAATTTGGTGGCAGCGGTGGGATGAAAATCCTTGATCATTTCATTACCAGAGAATTCCTTGATCATCTCAATTTCATACACTATTTTGATGTTGTCATAATTTTATGACATGGAAACAACAGAAGAAAATGACCAAATGATGTTACTTAATAAATTCTGTGTTGGTTAGTCAGGGGCAGGTGAGGGCACAGCAGTATTAGCGGACGTTCTGCAGACTCAACTCCCAGATGGCCAAAGTAATGAATCAAGTCTGGTTAAAAAAAAAATTTGATGCCACTCCTAATGGAGAAGTACCATTTATTGATTTAATGTAAAATATAACACATTTGAGAGAAATGAGCAATCTGAATCTACACAGTGTTCCAGAACATTGATGTCTGGAGTCAGTACAAATTATAGTAATTCTTTGTAGGAATGCCTGAAGAGCATTCATTTTGAGGTCAGATCAGCGAGATGAGTACTACGTGGTGGAAAGGGTGAACATTTTGGAAACCATAATTGGTACTAAAGGGCCACGGAGATGCGATTCCGGACGGAATTCACTTGTATCGTTTTCTGACGACCAGGGCCCACCGTCAGTTAACAATAGGATACTCTCGGGTGGTCTGGGTACTACTAATAGACGTGCCCGTTCATACGAACTTGGGACTACTGATAATTTAGTTGAGGCTGCTTCCGTTGATCCTGACATTTCATTATGTCAGATGAAATCATGTTTTTCTCATAGGCCTAAGTTCAATACTGTCATAAATGGTCAGGTATGTTCGGAGAAGAATAATTATTCTAGGATCCCATCAGGTGAGACGGCAGGTAAGTCCGCTCAACAGTCCTGCATGGATAAGCCGCCTATGGAAGGCGTATGTTCACATTCGGCCATGGACGCATGGTCATGGTCCACCCAACCTGCAGCCCAGGGAATGGCTCAGTCTCCATCTCACAGCCCTCAGGGTCGAGCGCGTACTGCTGAGTGTGTTGGTGAGATGATTGCTAAGGATCTGAAGAAATCTGCAACATATGATGGAAAGAGCAGTTGGCAAGATTATTATATTCAATTTGAAATGGTATCAGAACTTAACGATTGGAACGACTCAAAGCTATTCAGCTTGCAACAAGTTTACGGGGGGTGGCACAACAAGTGCTCAGTGACATTGCTCCTGACCACAGAAAAGATTATGACTATCTTGTTCAAACTCTATCTCAGAGATTCGAACCCAAAAACCAGTCTGAGTTATACAGAGCTCAAATAAAGAATAGATTAAGAAAAAGAGATGAATCTCTCACTGACCTTTCTCATGAAATTAAAAAGTTAGTTAGATATGCATATCAAGATGCATCATCTGAAGTCCGAGAACAGTTGGCTCGTGACTGTTTTATAGATTCACTGAATAAATATGAAATTGAATGGACTGTCCACCAAGGTAAATCAAAATTTGTTGAAGATGCTGTCCAACTCGCTCTTGAATTTGAAGCCTTCCAAAATAGTAGGAAGCACACAATATTTCAGAAACATGGAAGGGTAGGAATGCAGGTGGCGCATGATGCTACCCCATTCTCAAGGGATGACGAGCTGCGTCATTTTTCTCTCAAGAAGCTGAAAATATACAAAATGACAAATAAAAAAAATCAAGTTCAATATCAAATTTGAGACAATGGTGAAAAAAACTGATGTGGCATCAAATATCATTTTATCAACGATTGAAGAAAAGAACAAAGTTGGATAGGAAGACTTGTTTAAAAAAAATCATTACAGAGGTCATCTGGTATTTAAAAAAAAAAAATAAGAAAAGAAAACAAAAATGGAAAAAGGGAAAAATTAAAAAAAAAAAAAGTTATTTGGTCATCTTGACTGCAGATATGCGATTTCAGTATAAAAATTGCCTTGTTACTTTCCTTATTTAAGGATACCCATCTCTGGATGAGAATTTCAGTTTAAATATACATGTAGATGCCAGTGCATTTGACATATTGAAGAATTCATGTTACAAATGTGTGTCAACTTAGAGATAAAGTTGTTGCTTACTTAAGCAAGTCACTATATGTAGTGAAATAAACTACATGTACTGTGTTATCAAAAGAGAATTACTTGGAATAAATGAGTCAGTCAAAAATTTTGACCATTTACCTACATGGCAAAAAGTTTCTCATTCGCACTGACTGGTGCACTGAGATTGGTCCTTAAATACAAAAACCTAGATTGGGAAGGTCAAGAGGCTACAAATTTTATCAACACATGATTTCTATATTCATCATAGAGTAGATTCCCAGCATGGAAATGCTGATGGGTTGTAAAGTCATGCATATGCTGAGTGCACACATTGTGTTAAAAAGAAAATAAACTTATGATGGTCATGAAGAAAAACTTCAAAGCATCGCAGTCAGGATGATCAGATTTACACCTACAACTGGTCAGAATTTTCAAGAATCTGACATTTTTGTTTTGTAGATAATCAAGATTTACTTTGTTTTAATATTTGATTTGGAAGTTCAGCAAAAGAAGTACAGATTGAGTATAAGAATTATATACTTGGAAGAGGAATAATATTCCAAGACCAGGGTGGGAGGATATTTCTCAAGAAAGTTTACAAATCAAGTCTTACTGGTCCCAGTGGGACATACTTGTTATTTAAGACAATATTTTGTACAGAAAATGGTTTAATGCTAAAACCAATATGTCACATAACAATTGATTTTACCTGAAAAATATATACCTCAGGTCCTAACGATGTTGCATAGTGACCCTACAGATGGACACTTAGGAGTGAACAGAACTTTAGCCTAAGTCAGACAGAGGTTTTACTGGGTTGGAAATAAAACAGTTTTGTCTGGAATGTCAACGATGTCAATCAAGCAATCCACCAACCTGCACTCCTAAGGCTCCATTGAACCAATATATTGTTGGTGCTCCACTGGAAAGGGTTGCTCTGGATATTGTAGGTCCCTTGAACAGAACTCCTAAAGGAAAGTCAGATATATCAGTCATTGTCAACTATTTTACTAGATGGACTGAGGCTTTTGTACTTCCAAATATTAAAGCAAAAACAATTGCAAGAGTATTTCTCAATGAGTTTGTTTGTAAATTTGGTATTCATCGTCAAGTACATACTGACCAAGGCACACAATTTTAACTAATGTTTCAAGAGAAGTATGAAATTCTCAGAATAGATAAAACAAATTAGCAGCATCCATTCACCTCAGAGTGACGGATTTGAACATTTCAACAGGACTCTCACAGCTATACTTACAATATATATGTCAATTTCTTGGAAAGACTAGGATATAAATACTTACCTTTTGTATAACTACTGGCATACAGATCTTCAGTTTGTGAGAGCATAAAGTTACCAGTGCAGTTTGTTGATTTGGGCAGGGAACCAGCACTGCCTGTGGATCTTTTATTTGGTTGACCGCCTACAATAGATTTAAAATTTCATTATTCAACATTTACAATATTAATTGAAAATGCTTAATTGAAGCTTAAGTCACAGACAGAAATGTCATTATGATCATAATGCAAAACAAGTTTCCTTCAAGACAGAGCCATTGGCTTAATTTGTAATAAAAAGCAAAAGATTGGCATCTATCTAAAATTTACTAAAACATTGGAGTGACATTATACCATCAGTTTAATAAATAAAATAAATTTAGTGACCTAGAGTACAGGATACAGTGCAACATGACAGTGGCAATTAAGCAGTACACCTTTATCTTCTCAAAGAGTTTTATGGAAAACTGTAACATTTTCTACAAACCTTCAGAATTATGAATTAACAATAGTCAACTGACTGATTGGACATCACATATGATTGTATTACTTTTACCAGACCTGTTTACCTTTTTATGAGTGCCTTTAAGAATAAACAGCACTGGTCTATGGTTGTTTGAAAAAGTTTGATACAAGTCCACATGCAGTTTGATCAGCACAGGAAGGACAAATGCAAACCAAAACTCCTGCCTGCATGCCACAATGTTCTAGCTGTCAAGTGACACTCTACCCTACATCTTGGGTAACCACCTACAATCAGAGATCTTATAATTATGAACAGTATTAAAACAGATCATATCAACTCCTTGTTACAGGCATTCCAGATATATTAGCCTGATTAATAGACTAATTTGATGTGATCGCCAGAGATGTCAATCAGATGTGGTAACCGCCAATTTATACTCTAACTTGTGGAAGTTAAGGGAAACAGAAATTCTGTGTGATGCGAAACAAACTTTCTTCCTTCACGATGATGATGCTGACTTATGGACTGTGAGACTATATGGTATAGGTATAAAAACTTTTATATTATTAAGGGTATCTGTTAGAATTATAAGCAACTTTGAGTTGCTTTGGGAGGGGGATGGATTTTTGAAAATATTTATTTTATTGAAAGGAATGATGACCATTTTTGTAATGGATCATGTTTTACTTTTGATATTTTATGATATGTGTAAATATAACTGTGTGATAATTCATACAATATTACCATTGATTGAATCTTCATCTGAGTGGGCCATTACTGCAAACATTACTGGATTCTGTGTCTTCTGAGTACTAAAAAGAAAAATTGTTTTATTTCATGTTATAAATCTATATGTCGATAATTGATATTTCGTTATAATTATTTATTACTAAATTGTCTACAATCATTACTTGTTTTCACATATTTTTTTTTGTTCGAGGACGAACAATTTTTCAAAGGAGGGGATAATGTGAAATATTTGTGTTTTGAGACCCCCCCCCCCTTATATGTCACATGTGTATAATTATTTGTAAACATTATTTGTACATGATTTCTCTTATAGCAATTATAAATGAACTGTAAACATTACCAAGTGTACTATAAAACGATGTTTGGTACTTCCTATTATTTCATGTTTGGTAAATCCTACACTTTCATGTTTGGTAAATGACCAAGTTTACCACGGAGGAAATATGGACTGATACGTAAAATTATAGACTCTTATGATTGAAACAGTATTTATTATGAATGTTTATTTCATTTAACTTACAGTTCAGGTTGTAAAATGATCGTAAATACCGTTTTTCATGTGTCTGTCGATCGGGTTGTTTTCCTTTTTGGTCATGGCGATTCGGAAGATTCTAATTTACACGGGGGGGTTAGGTTATTGTACTTCGTCCTCGAACGTCATTATTTTATAATTGTTAACTTATACGCAACTTGTATTGTACATTTTTATGCAACTTACCTTCATTGTTTATTACTATGTATTTGTTTTACGATTCGGCGTCACATTGTTCGTATTTTTCATGGTTTGTCCCACTTCGGCGATGTTGTTAGTATCGTCTGCCATTTTGGTCTACACTTTCATTTTGGTTAGGTAAAGCGCACTGCGCATGTCCGGTAGTTTACCCTATATAAGCGTCGCCACGGATGCTGAGGTTTCAGTTTGACTCTGCAGAGCGTCTGCGCAACAACTTTCATAGAAATTGTACGTAAATACTGATATAACTAACGAATGGGGAGTTTTTACTATAGATTATATTGACCAAATAGGTTTATTAAGGAATTCAACAGTCTCTACGAAGTTTTACCATTGTTTACATTTGACCAAATTGAATTATTAAGGAAAATCGATAGTCATCATTTTACCAAATCATAATAACGTTACCAAATCATAATAGCATGACCAAATCATAATATGTGACGTCCAATCTGACCAAATGTATTACATCACCATTGTTTATTTGGTTATCCAGTCATCTGTATTACAGTTATTCCTTCATTAAATTATTGCTGAAACTTTAATTATCTTATGTTGTGCTCTTGTTTGCCTCTGCAATGCAATATTTTACTGACCAACACAGGGATTTATCTTACCAAATCAACCAGGATTACTAATTAACAAATTACCAGGAAATACCATATATATTGGTTACAATGAAATATATCTCCTTAATTGGAGGTTTGATCAATTATAAAAAGCCTCATACCTCGGGCACGTTACAAAGAGCATGGCCAATTTGTGACCAAATTAGAGACTCTGTTCAAGTTGTGACTAAATTTGAGTATTCTTTCCAGTTGTGGCAATATAAGAGTACTTTGTTCAAGTTGTGACAATATAAGAGTACTCTTTTGATGTAATGACAAAATAAAAGATTTCTGTTCATAATGAGACAAAATAAGAATACTCTGTTCAAGTTATAACAAAATAAGAAAACTTTGTCCAAGCAGTACCTGAATAAGAGTACTCTGTCCAAAATGTGACAAAATATGAGTACTCTGTCCAAGTTGTGACTAAATAAGAGTACTCTGTCAAAGTTGTGACTAAATTAGAGTACTTTTCCAAGTTGTGACAAAATAGGAGTACTCTGTCCACGTTTTGACAAAATATTAGTATTCTGTCCAAGTTGTGACTAAATAAAAGTTTTTTTGTCCAAGAGTACTCTGTCCAAGTTGTGATTAAATAAGAGTATTCGGTCCAAGTTAAGAGTAAGTAAGAGTACTCTGTCCAATTCATGACAAAATAGAGTAGTTTGTCCAAGAAGTGACTAAATAAGAGTACTTTGTTCAAGTTGTGACAATATAAGAGTACTCTTTTCAAGTAATGACAAAATAAAAGATTTCTGTCCACAATGTGACAAAATAAGAATACTCTGTTCAAGTTGTGACTAAATAAGAGTACTCTATCAAAGTTGTGACTAAATTAGAGTACTTTTCCAAGTCATGACAAAATAAGAGTACTCTGTCCAAGTTTTGACAAATTAAGAGTATTCTGTCCAAGTTGTGACTAAATAAAAGTTTTATGTCTAAGAAATGACAAAATAAGAATACTCTGTCCAAGTTGTAATTAAGTAAGAGTATTCTGTCCAATTCATGACAAAATAAGAGTAGTTTGTCCAAGTAGTGACTAAATAAGAGTATCCTGTCTATGTTATGACAAAAAAAGAGTTCTCTGTCCAAGTTGTGACTAAGTAAAAGTACTCTGTCCAATTCAAGAGAAAATAAGAGTACTCTGTCCAAGTAGTGAATATATAAGAGTGCCCTGTCTATGTTACGACAAAAAAGAGTTCTCTTTTTAAATTGTGACTGTATAAAAGTACCTTGTCCAGGTTGTGACTAATTATGAATACTCTGTCTAAGAAGTGACTAAATAAAGATAAGTATGTGACAAAATAAGGGTCCAAATCGTCACACATAAAAACGCTATGTCCAAGTTACAGTTATTAGAGCTCTCTACTTAAATTGCAGCAATTACAGTAAAACTTGTCTAATTTAGACACTAGCTGTTCTAAGGAAATTGGACAAATTTGATATCATTCTGGATTAAACAACATGTAAAACAACTGAATTAACTGAAAGGGCCTTCAAGTTTTTATTTTAAGATGCAATATTTTGGAATGTACAACACCTAGAATACACAAGTTTTACTGTATAATACAGTGTACAAATTGCAAAATGAAGTAATTCTCCCTAAATGTAAGTACTGTAGATCACTATATTTTCACGACACCTTATTTTCGCGAGATAGTCATTGACTCTTGATTAGCGAGACATAATTTTCATGAATTGTGCTTATTGCTCTACATAATCTTAAAGGAATACTATCATACGCGAGAATCATATTTTCGCGAGCACACTATCTCGCGTAATTATGCGAAAATAAAGTTCTCGCGAATAAAAAGTGATTTACAGTATTATTAATTCTGACAACTTTGGCCAAAAGAAGCTTCAAAATTCTCTGGTAAAGTTGATAGCAAATCTGAATTCAATTTACCTGAAAAAATGAATATGCAGAACTTACACATATTACAAAGAATAAACAAACCTTTCATAACCTGAATTGTAGGTGATATAGTGATCATAACATATCATGCATTTAATACAATTATATATGGCCCATAAAAATAAATCAAAATATATTGCCAAAAAAAGTGAATGTTTTACATGAAGCAAAGCTATCCATATAAGATAAATATGAACAATAAATACAAAACTGACACCAAGGTATCCATGACAATGGAGGGAATGTATTTTCTGGTGATAAAACATTGCACCAAGGACAACATGGCAGAAATGACATGATACAAAGGCACACGATGCTTGGCTCAGCCAATCACAGAATGAGTGTGTGTCGCAGATAGTGCAATTGAACCAGAAACATCAAGAAAAAGAGAAAAATCGGAATAAAACCATCACCGTGGTAAGGTGGACTTGATTACCTGATTGGATGAAGGGTCTGGTTCCTGTGGTTATAATTAGCAGATAAACAAAATTACACAAAAATTACATTGGAAATCCCAAAGCTATATTTGATGAAAAATGGTTCAAATAACTTTTCGGTACATTTTTCTTTCAAAGGGTTGTTTAAGGAGAGAGTTTAATTTTTTTTTTCTCTCAGAACAACATAAGCTGAAGCTTGACATGCATATGGTCCATTTACCACTATCATCTACTAGGTGTGCTAGTTAGGGAGGGGCATGCAGTGACTGATAACAAGCAGCACACAGTTTTGGAAGACATCACATGGCACCTGCTCACACCTCTGGATTTAGAAACCCCCCTTCCCTTCCTCTTATATTTTTATGAAAATGTTTTTACATGGGGGTGAAATACTACGAGAAATTAATTTACTTAACAATGGACCCAACATTTTACGTGAAGTTCTAAGATCACTGGTAAGAATGTTTACTGTATTGTCATGGTAACCAAACCTACCCTGATAAGTGTTTCCACGGAGGCGAAGTACTTGCTCCACCAATCCATGCTCTCCAAATCCATATCCTCCTCCTCATCCACAGAGTGTTTCTTCTTCCGTCGAGCATTCTCTTCTGTCTTCTTCTCCTTGACACTTATCTAAAAAACAATGGAGTTTTTTTACGTCAATTTTTTCCTCTTAATATGCTGTTCAATAAAATTCAGAATAGGCAAATCAGGACACAAAGTTGACAACTTTATCTTTTTTTCAAAATTTCAATGAAAAAAGTAATATCCTGGGTTTTACGAGAGATTTTAGTCAAGCTAAGCAGAAAAACCACACAAGGCTTTCAAAGAGCTACTGATCAGAAGGTAAAACAACTAAAAAACTAAGGAAGGCATGAGTCACAACTGGAAATGTTTGGGAAGAGAGAGTCCAAAATCTTGATTTCTATACAAAGAAAATTTATGGTTCTTAAATAAAAGTGCATCAAGATTTGAAAAATAACTATCTTATTATATAATATTCTCAAACTTTAACACAATTTCTCTCATTTCAAATTTATATCTGACCTATAAAAAACTTATTTCATACGTTTTCATTTGATTAATTAAAAATTTCCTTATAACTGAGATTTCCTTATAACCAAGTTCTTAATCAAGTTTTACTGTACACATATTTATCAAATAATGCATAATTCAGAATCTGTGTAATTAACAATGGTGTATACAGCATCTATGCTGTCTAACATGACTGACATCAAGCATAGGTAGCAGACAAGAGATTATAAGCATCTAAGCCCTTTCAAAAGAAGACAACAGTGTCCCAAAGAGATGTAAACTGAAAAAAGGTCGTTCAGTGTAACAGTGGCCTTTCAGGTGATGTGTTTGTGTTAAAATTACAGAATGCAGTAGACTGATTAGTGAAACCTTTAGGTGACTGTTACCATGTTGGTACTGTTATGAAAACCTGAAACTCATTGAAGGGTACACTATGAATAAGGGATTAAAATGCCAGCAGCCATGATGAGGGTAGGTGAGATGAGCTAAAATGTAATGGTAAATCTTTGTCTCTATTTGAATGTATCTAATATTAAAATTGTATTTACTTTTTTAAAAAGTAAAGCTTCCAATGTACTTAACAAATGATATTCTGCTTTCTTCTGAAGTCCCTTTTGATACAGGAAAAAATCAGGGCCTTTACCAAGTTTCTGGAAGAGATTTAAGGGGGAGGGTCTGGGAGAGAAGATAATTACTCCCTTGATCTCCTAAGCCAGAATTTCTCTTTTATAAATTGGTATCATTTTGATGGCTTTTGATATTCTGAAAGTTTTTTTTTTTGAAAAATATAAGTAAATGAAGCAAGTACATTGTACCATGACTTTAAAAAGATTAAATATTTTTTTTGCTTCAAAAATAATCTTTTTCTTGAGAATTTTTTTAAAGGGGAGGGAGGTGATAGATAGCTGAGACTTTGTTGTAGGGGTAGAGGCTCCAGTTGAAGTGGAATAGAGTCGAGGAAGGTTGTGATGTAAGAAATATTGCAGTGAACAACATGTACCACTAGTTTTTGCACAACTACCAACACTACTACAACAGGTCTGGACGATTTCTAAATAAGGAAGTAAAGAACGATAACCGTGAATTGCTATTAATACACAGAATAAACAAGGCACTAATCCTTCTGACCAATCAGATAACAGCATTACGACAAACCCATGAGAGAATAAATAAAACACGTGGTTTTTAAGTTTTTTGCTCAAAAGATTTTTTTAAAACAAATTTTTTGTAAACTTTATGCGAATTTGGGAATAATATGATATTTATGACAATTCTACCGTGAACAAACACGAGTTGAGAGCTTGGAATACGTTTTAAGTGGGATTAAAAAATCTGTATCTAGGAGTTAACAATCTCAAAAGTTTACCTACGTTAAAAAAATGATATAAATACGGTAAATTTTCAGTTTTTAGAGCCTGACATAAAAATCTTATCGAAAAGATAACAGTCTTTATTATTTTTGAGTGTTTATTACACAATTCTAGTAGTCCATGCAGTTTCTGATATGCGAGGTAAGATATTGGGATAAAACGCATTCGTGTATAATTACAGGATTTCTTTTCTCCACGTTAAACGCCTTTCCTTATGCCCATTTAAAGTCTGCATAGCTATATATTCAGCGCTCAAGAAACCCGTGATAATGCAAAACTATATGTGTATACTCCACACGATAAACACTTACAAGTGTGAGTTGATCTATACACATGGAATTTAAGCATTATCGATGAAAATCGGACGGCTAAACAAAATTATATTTACCGTCATATAATATATTCTGGCAAATGTTATAATTGAACTTGATAAAAACTTGCTGGTGTGATCTATACCTCTGTAAACGATTACATTCTATTGTGCAATATTTTTTTTTCTTTACCTAGATAAAAATGTCAAGGTTGTTCACGGTAAAAATGTGGGGAATACCTTATTCTTCAAAAGTTTTCATCTTACTTCTACAGATTTTTTGTTAAAAAAATCTTTTTGAGGAAAAAAACAAAAGCACGTGTTATCTTTTTGTTCTTTTAAGATATGTTTTGGGGTGTGTAAAAATGCTGTTGTCTGATTGGACAGAAAAATAATTACGTGTACTTGATGTACATTTATAGCGACTTTCGGTTATCGTTCTTGACTTCCATATTTAGAAATCGTCCAGACCTGTACAAATGCTACGATTACTACTACTACTCCCAGTATTACTTTGCCTACAGGTGACTACAATACAATGCCCACATGACAACACCTCTGACCTCGATTAACACCACTAGTTACCATGTTAATTGTTACAGGAGATTCTTTTTTAATTAGAGGCATGTTTTCATCAAGTTTGATACCCACATCTTCAATTTTCACTCCTCCATCTGGACTGGTCGCTATTATCTTTGGAGCATCTGGATCCTTCCCTGAAAAAGTGATAGAGCTTTTTAACGACTTTTGTACTTTATGCATTGCTTAAAATTTTATAGAAATACATTAATTCTGTTCTTTGCATAAAATCAGTGATGCAATCTTGTTAGTTTGTGAAAGTGTATAACAAGTATGAGCATGACAATGAACCAAAGATTATAGTACTCTTCTCTGGCAAAATTTCCAATAATTGTAACATACAAAAAATTAACACAGTTGAGGAACAAAGTGTTTCGAAGAAATGTTATAAAGGCAATTCTAATAACCATAAATATACTTTGATTAATACATGCATTCTAATCCAGCCCCAAGTGCAGCATTATTTGAATTTTATTTGATTCTTAAAACATAAATTTGAATATATGTTTTTATACTGCTATACAAGCATGTGAACCGATTCATAAAGTTATAAAAATATCAGCAATATGATTATATCATAATATACATATATAATCAAATTTACACTGTTAATAAAAACAAAACATATTCCTCCAAAGAAAGCAGCCTACTGAATAATGTACCTACATATACTGTATGCTGAAAAATTACCAGTAGCTAAATTGACCAATTTACAGAAGGGATCAGTAATTTCAAAAATGATTAAACTAAGGATAATTTAACAAATGACACATAATTTTAATTCATACCGTAAATCTGGAAATTTTTGCTGTAGATAAATTTTTAGCAAATTTGCGAGTTCATTGTATTCGCAAAAATATTTTTCTTAAAAATAAATTACCAATAAGAAAACGTAAACAAAGCTGTGGTAATTGGCAAAATTTTGAAACGTAAAAATTAATCAACACCATTTTGACCCGAATTTGCAAAATAAAGTCGACGTAAAAATTTCCAGATTTATGGTATAAATAATCTTTGACCAAAATCACAAATTATTTGAATCCCAGGCGCATCTAGAGCTTAACCTAATTTGACTGATACCCCCCCCCCCCACCCTCTTCGCAGATCAGGGGTTCTGAGTCCACTTGTAACTGTTAGCTCCCCTGACAAATATTTAAAGCATGCATTACACTAGATTTCCCATAATGCACCATTACTTGCATTGCTAAGTCTCAGCACTGAGATAAGTGGAAAGCGACATAAATTAAGCTGAGGCTTAATTGTATGAACTGGAGTCGTCATGAAGCAAAAAATTGGGTCAGATGCAGCTTTAAAAGCATCCAACACACTAAGTATACATATATGTACTAAACAGGTTTAATTTCAACATCCCTTGAGCCCTCGAGATTATCTTTATCTTGCATACATGAACAAACAGAGAGATGGACATACAGATTTTTGAGTACCCTCCCCCTGCATTGTTCTGAGATATTTTTGGTTTTTCAACGTACAGTATATAATCATGTTCTCAATTATTTCATGCATAATGATTTTCAATGTCCTTACCAGTTTCTTCCTCTAAAAATCATAGACAGTAATTCACTCAATGTTAATTACTTCTCTAACACTCCTCTTTGGTAAGATTTATCACAAACATTTAAGTTACCAGTATTCTTGTGTTTTTTTTTTTAAATTATTGAAACAAAGAATATGTATCAATCATTTAATCAATGCCAAAAATAAGAAATCAATCATCAACCAGATCAGTATACTAGAATTAAGTAAATGTACACTGACAAATATTAGCATTGATTAACCAATTCAACAATTCAAAATGCAAAAACAACTTACAACTGATAATGTTCCTAAAACAAATGACAACACATTAACATTACTTTGTGCACATAAAATCTGTGATCATTAAACCAGGTTACCTGGGAAGAGTTTTTGCAGTGCGGCTTTGGCTTTCTTTGTCGTAGGTACATACATAAACTTGTGGATGGAGTTGATGACGTGGGTTCCTACCAAGACATAGCGACCAAAATTTCGACAATCCACGCATCGAATTGTTATTGGTGGACAGTAAAGCTCATTTTCTGGCAATTCCTAAATGAAAGTAATTTTTTTGAAGTTATTTACCAATACAAAAAGTCTGAACAGTAAGTAACAGTATTGTTGTTTATTATGGACAGAAATTTTAAATAAGAAAATCAGACTACCTACCACATCAAAATACTTGACAGTAGTTCCAAAGTTTGGATTTTTCTTGTAGTTTTGGATTACGGATGAGGCCAGAACATGTCCAGCACATTCTACGTCAATCCGTGGCTTATCCACTGAGGTTAGCTGTACTCGCTTCAAGTCTCTCACCCCCCAAAACAGAACCTGTAGACCAATCATTTAATGTCAGAAAAATAAACTGTTAAAAGACATTCATGATATTTTTTCTTACAAATTTCTTTCTGTGAAAGACTAAATTTTACTCAGTGGTAAAGAACTACAGATATGGGATAACTACTCTTAAGCATAATAGGCATACAGATATACTAACATATACCCAATTATTACATATCCCCCTTTTCATGCATGGGGATACAAAAAGAGATACATATTCAATTAAGATTTAACTTAAGAAATACATTAAATGATCTAGAGATAAGTAAGGTCCTACCTCTATTCTGTGTTTACTGAGAATGGGCCGGATTCCTTTAGGGACAGGCATTACTGGGCCTCTGTCTTTCTCTGCTGGGAGTTCTAAGGGAGGCAAATCCTGTCCTGTCATCTCTCCAAAGGGAGCTAACTGTAAAAATATACAAAAAAATCATCTGAAAATTCTGGGTAGCAATAGAGTAAAAAAATCAAGGGTACCTACATGTATTTTATATCAATGTCATTTTATTTAACATCATGAGCACACACACAATGCATGCAGGATATCTCTCACATCCATGCACAATTCCTCACATAAAATCACAGTACTAATTTAAAAGTTTAATTGTAGTGAAATAAATAAAAAAGACTATTCATTTTACATTATAAAACACAATAAGCTTTTCTACTTGAATAAAATATTTTCAAAAATTTTAATACATTACACATCTCTATTAAAAAATAATTCTAAGTAGCAGATGCATTTTCCTGAGTATAAACAAGATAAAAAATACATAGTGGAATAAGAAAATGTGCCTCAAATTCTTAAAAAAAATTTTTTTTTAAATATGGCAATTAATATTGATATCTTTGGCAAAGTTATAGGAATTAGTTTCTATTTGAAGCTTTCAGTTTAAGATTTTTAAATTGTATGGATTCTTCTTTTAATCAGGTGCAACCTTATCTAAATGTTACCAGTTACGGATTCTTCTCATGCATGGTAGGGAGTTGTGCAGGTATCTTATCAATCTTTTAAGTGGTCCATAAATAACAGTGAAAGAATTTTCCTAATCTGGTGCTAGTTTTAATATGGGATTACAATGAGTAGAAGGTGAAGGGAAAAAAGGACAAAATATTTCAAAAATTATTATAAAAAGTCTGGAATGCCCTAGAAACATACATATCACTGTTACATAAATCTTATGTCAATTCTTTGTAAGAGTAAAACCCATCACCCAGATTGAAATATAGTAACTTTGCACACTGCACATATACCGTGTGTTCCTCAATGTGGGGAACAATATTCATAGATTTCATTGGTTACATCTTGTCCATGAATTTGCATCCCAACCAACAATTATTTTGTCAACATTTATTCATTGAACCTTCTATATGAAAGTAATGTCCAATTACAAAATTTTGCTTGCCAAAGAGGATTCCTATGAATTTAAGTATATTCCTAAACTCTGTAGATATTCCTGGGTAGGATCTCTGGGTTGTCCTTCTTTTGCTTCTAATATCAGTATAATCTACATCACATTTAATGTTGTATATGCAATCTAAGAGCATATTTCAATATATACTATTGTTACACAAAATTACTCTATATTCATATATTTATACAAAATTCTTTAATATCCATACTTTAATTCATATGTTTTAACTACTATGTATAACTTACATGTCAAAAGTGAAACACAGCTCAGATGTATACCTATAAGCCTATTCTGCAGCATGCATTTCACAGATCATTTTCAGATGCATCATGTACAAAGTTTGGTTTATTCATTCACTGTGTTTTTCAAGGAATATCTAAAGTCTGTCATCAACCTTGAATCAACAAACAGACAGACAGACAGACACTTACCAGTAATTCCTCTGAAAACTTTGTTGCCATCAAGGTAGAAAATGTTTTTAAAACTTTAATACAGTGCAAAAATTAGTGTGTGAAATATTATTTTTCTAGAATATTAGATTATACTTCCCCTGAAATACAAATAATCATCTACCTAACTACAGAAAAATAAAGCTAGAACAATTAAAGCTGAGGATCTACAAGCAAAGTGCAAGCAGCAGCTGAGGTCACATGACCTGCCAGCAACCAGAGTGAGGCTATACCAGATTGGTTTTCCTGGCGTATGGTGGCGTAAGATGAGCACTGCGTAGGTCCTTCTCCTCAAAAGGATGCTACAATGGGTCATTACAATGTGTAAAGAGGGATATGCTAGGCTTCTAACAATGTTTGCTTAATTATATATAGAGCTAAAATGGTGGTATATAACCAAGCCAATAACAGCTACAGGTCTGAGCACAACAGCTTTACAAAATATAACTTAATATTATTATTTTGTCATGAAGTCTTATATGGTATGCATTTTGAAGGAAAAATGCATACTGATTTATGATATACATAAAAACTTCTTATCCAAATTTTGAATTTACCAGGGCACTTTAAAAAGGATAAGGTGAAGTAAGAGCCAAAATCAGCCTTATTTTTATATTGTAACTATCTAAATAGATTTTGTCTCAAAACTCATGATTTTTCTTTTCATATTTCACAATTCCAATAACTAGATTGCATTTCTCATAGATGTAAAATAAACTGTAAAGCAACAATTGCATCCATGTGCTTCATTTAATGTTAATGGTCAAGGAGGACAAAAATGTGCACAGAATGCAAAACAATTCAGCATTAGTTGTCCAAGAAAAGGGTCAGTAATGTGTAATTAAAATTAAGCTTTCCATAACAATTAAATATACATGCTGACTCTAGACGATGCGTTTTTTGGAAGCAAAAATGACAAATACATAGAGCTGCTTGTTCTTACCAAACCTTACCCTTAATTATTCTTAAATAATCAAATTATCTACGTTATAATGTAACTCAACAAAAAAAAATTCATGGAGGTACCTCGGTACCAAATGATAATAACTCTACATAAACATATGACATGGGAAAAGCACAAACAAAACAAACAAAAACAAACATACCTGCAGCAATTCAAAACAGGCAAGAAGCTGTCCTGCCTTGTCTGGTCCCCGATAAATATCCCACCATTCCAGTTTGGGAGGAAATTTAGGCATGTCGTATTTCTCATTCTTCATCTTCACAACTGGTTTGGCCATTGCTCTTCCTATGAATTCTGACTTCCCCTGAGATGAGAAAGCAAGAACTGTGGATTATTTCCCTTCGTTGAGATTTTCAATTAACTGATTAAAGCTATTGCTTTGAAACCTAACAGTGGATATCAGAGTCTTTAAAGAAAAGATTTTTTAAACTTATAGTCTTTGACCAAACTTCTGATTCTACAAGAATCCATACCACTTTGTCCTGATCGAAGATCTCAATGATGATAAGAGGTGGGTTGTCCACGATCTCGTCCACCTGCCCGTAAACCGTGACCTCGTTTATGATCAGCATCTCATCCCACGTAGGACTGAGGGTCTCCTCGATGACCTGGGTACATACACTCTGATCTCCAAACGCTACCCTGGCGAAGGGATCTGACAACCCTGAGGCATCAGAACCAATCAGACTGCGGGCCTGGTACATGTGACATCTCACTTGGAATGACTCACAGGCTGATGAAAAAGATCAAATAGGTTGATTGACATTCAATATGATAACTCAAAGTGAATTTAACTAAAATGATGTAAATGCATTTCCAGAAGGGAACAGCTGTGAAATTTTATTGGGGACATTTTGTTTATACAGAGTTTTGAAAGTTATTACAGTAAAACCAGATTATCCTGAATTCCTTGGCAAAAAAACTCTCGATAATTATTCACTTTTTCAAAATTTAACAAAGAATTTTACTACTTCCATTCAACCAGAAATCATCACATCTCTTTGTTTACTACAGAAAGTTCCTTACCACTGTAGTGTATGAACTCTGGGGGCACAGCATGGGGCTTGTTGGCTATCTGCAGCAGCCTACTCTCTTCATATCCTTTAGGCAGTCCACTGAGGAAGTCCTTCTTATGTTTACTGAGTCCCAGCCATAGGTAAACCTGTAGTTTGGCCTGAATCCCCCACCCAGACTGACCAGTGGCCTTCTTTCCTGGCAGCTAAATTTAAAATTTGTCATATTTCTCTGCATTTAGATCAACCAATTAGACTCATGTTCATTTAAGCAATTAGCTGCAGATCTGTAGTTTTATGGTTTTATACAGTGTCTTTGACCATAACGCTACAGATCCCATAATGTAAACCAGAAGTCTCTGTCGAAACTGAAGCTCTACTGGTTTGTACTTATAACAAAGGAAGAGAAAAGTAGCATTTGGGACTTAAAACTTTACAACAGCAATAAATAGAATAATGATGCTTGATTGAGCTCTTTTTGTGGCAAGATACTGCAATAAGACAACAGCAGTAGGAGTAGCTATTAATAAACTTTTAGAGTATTTTCAATTTTAGTAACCATGGCAACATCCTTCCTCGATATCAAAAATCGATACACAGAATTGTGTATCTTAGTGTAGTCTACTCGTGTGCCATGTTGTATTGAAATCAGACCAAAACTGTAGGAGGAGTAGCATTTTGAAAGTATTTCACAGAAATTTCTATTTTTAGTAACCACGGCAACAACGTTCATCGAAATCAAAAATCAATAAACAGAATAATGTATCTTAGTGTAGTCTACTTGTGTGCTAAGTTATATTAAAATCAGACCAAAACTGTAGGAGGAGTAGCATTTTGAAAGTATTTCACAGAAATTTCTATTTTTAGTAACCATGGCAACACTGTTCATCGAAATCAAAAATCGATACACAGAATTATGTATCTTAATGTAGTCTACTTGTGTGCTCAGTTATATTAAAATCGGACCAAAACTGTAGGAGGAGTAGCATTTTGAAAGTATTTCACAGAAATTTCTATTTTTAGTAACAAAGGCAACAATGTTCATCGATCAAAAATCGATACACAGAATTATGTATCTTAGTGTAGTCTACTTGTGTGCCAAGTTATATTGAAATCGGACCAAAACCGTAGGAGGAGTAGCATTTTGAAAAATTGTTTACAGACAGACAGACGGACGGACGGACGGACGCCGGACGCATTACTATCGCATAAGCTCTTCTGGTCTCTGACCAGTAGAGCTAAAAAGGTGCAATTTACGGCGCAATATTTTTGCGCAATTTTGGGGTGAATTTCTCCACTTTCCAGCATTGGTCAATTAACTTCTTTTCACTCCCTAATTTTAGGCACATTATTTAACTAATCTGTATATTTTATCCATCTCCCAACCCGTTATAGTCCTCTCTACAAGAGATAAACTCGCTTGATTAAAATTATTTGTTAGATTGCTGAAAATTCACTTCAAGCCAGTTTATTGCCTGTAGAGACAACTATAAAGTTGGGAGTTAATAAAATATACATATTGGCTACGGAATGTTCCTAGAATTAGGGAGTGAGAGGTAGTTGATTGAATGCTAGAAAGTGGAGAAATTCTCCCTAAAAGTGCGGAAGAAATATTGCGCTGTAAATTGCACCTTTTTCGCATTACTGGATCTATAGCGTTATGGTCAAAGACACAAATATGTCTAAAACCTTAACCCTACAGATCTGCAGCTATAAAGCAATGAAATGGTCTCAAAACAATATTTCACATCCTTTGATGGTTGTGAAGAAATACTTACCCTTAGAAGCAGAAGTTGCTGTTTGCCACAAAATTTGCCTCGTTCCTCCTCTACAATGGAGTAGATGATGTCACGAGCAGGAACCCGCTGGTAAGCAATCCTTTTGTTGACACTGATCATCCACAGGAACACATCCGGTAGGGCATGTTGTGGCTACAATGGCAAAATAGAAATATATCAATCTTATTTTATCATATCCTAAAATTGTTACCAAATTTAGATTGATACAAATTATAAATTAAAAACTACAGTACAACAATTTTGTTACTCACCTCGTGAGATAATGACTTAAGTTTCTGAAGATAATGCCCGGCTACTTTCAGTTTCTCCTTCAGATTGTGTTTTGATGTGGTGGTTTTCATTGTTCTGGCAGAAGTGGATAAATGGTCCTGCAAAATATTTACATCAACTTAATTTCTAATCCATTCATTTTTTGCATTACGCATAAACGATGGCAATTAATGGAGACACTTTTGAAACAGACTTCTCTTGACATTTTTAAAAATCTACACAATTTTCCCCACTATAGACTGACCATCTCCCTGATGAGTAACTTCTGTCGCTCTTTGTCCAACTTTGTTTTTCCAGAGGCCTGGGTTCCCTTGACGATGCTGACAAATTTAGAACAAGAGGAACCCAGTTCCTCAAACACGCCTCTCATTCTCTTCTCTGGGAATGGCTGCTCCTGGATGATCATTTCATGGACCTCAGATATCCCATCATCCTGGAAAAGAACAAAATCTCATTAAAGTTTTCATTTAAATTCTAACAAAAATTCTGATATCAATGACAAAGTTTTACAGTCAAACCTTGATATCCTGAATTCAATGGGACAGAGAAAATATACTTTGAGATTTCCTAAGAGTTCACTTATCACAGGTAAAATACTTGAAGAATAAGTAGATAGGACTTTCAAATCACTTAGACATATCCAGGGTAATGGAGATTTCAGTAGTTCAACTGTATTAAAATTAACCTGTTTTTAAACTGGCCATCAAAACATTTTCTAATCATAAACTGTTCTCAACAAAATGTTGAAAATGCGAAGAAAAGTTTTATTCATTTAATCAAAGATTTTTGGGGTAAGAAACTGACCAGTTTTTCTATGATTCTGTCCACTATATTAGAGTTGTACATTCTCCTTCTGTGGTCCTCTGTCACATGCTTGATGTACACGCACGGTTTATCCTCATAGTACGGCAGGTTGTAGTATACCCTGTCCTTTGTGGAGGGTCGCTGTGTCTGGGTGGTGCTCTTCCATTTTGGAGTATCCACGGCGACTTCACTCAGGAGGGGGGCATCATCAGCCGTCTCCTCCTCCGATTCTTCCTCACTAGAACTACTGCTGCTGCTTCTCTTAGTCGGGGGGTTATACCCGTCCAACACATTGCCTGCATTTCCTACAAAGGATATTAGGAAATATGTTCCATAAGGTTGTACCATTTAGGTTACAGTGAAAATGAAATAAGATGCATAAATATTGAATAAGATAAAAAATATTGATATTTTGGAAAAGCTTTGAAATTTCACACTTACCCATGCTCATTTCAAAATGAACAGGTTTTTCTCCCAGTCTTCTATCAATCATAGAGGCTTCCATAAAACAACCAAACAGAAAGAACTCATCAAGTTTTCCAGCTGCATTCTGAAATGAATAAACATTTTAAAGTTTAAGATACAAAACGAAAGTCAACCTCACTCACAGATTCTCTGGATAGATCATGTAGCTTATTTGTGCATGTTACTGATTCATACTGAATCTTACTGAATAAACAAAAACTTTTTTGTATTCGGTTAGAGGAAAAACTCATCATTTTCAGTGAGATTAAAAAACTATGATACAAACATCACTAGCTTCTGAAATGAGCAAAGCAGATTATTAAAAAAATTAACTGTCAAGGATTTCCATTATTATATCCAGCGAAGAGGGCATTAAGACAGAACTGACCTCTGGAATGGGCAGTGCAGTACAGACTTCTACTGTGGCTGGTCCTCCAAGGTCAGCACTCTCCATGACCTCTGTCCTGAGAGAAATCAACATGCGCCCTCTATAGGACACCCCCTCACCCAATCCATCATTCAGGTGCTGGTTCTCATTCAGCAGACTGTATTGTCTTGTGGATCCATACAGATTCACCCAACAGGGACCATAGGTTGGGAGGAAACCTAAAGAACAGAAGAGAGGTCATTTCCAGAAGTGTTCCAAAGCATTACAAGCTTGAATTATTTACTTTTGAAATGATAGCCATTAAAAATTCATTTTTTTTTATATTTATAATATCCACAAAAAAGAGAAATTAAACTGTTTCTTTAAAAAATAGTGCTCCTGATACTTTTTCAGAGAAGAAAAATAATATTGTCTGTGTCCATCTTTCAGATTTTTACCCTTTTCTCCTTCATTTGAGATTTTGGCAATATCAATGTAGTGTGTTCCTATCACATCGTCATTCACTTTGTCCTTGTCTCTGAGTTGTATCTGGATCCTCCTACACAGGGGAGGAAACATCTCAGTGAAGATAATCTGTTCATTCCACTCCGGCTCATAACAACCCTTCTTTACCGAGGTTCTTCCCTGCAATACATCAAATACAACTCAAAAGGCTTTTCAAAGAACATGCCTTGGAAAATGTTTTAAGCTTCAAGTTTCTAGGGCAGCAGAACACATCACAGTAAATTTTAAGAGAGAATTTTAACATCTTTAGATTTTGAACATTCTCACAACTCTCTAGAATATGTTTTACAACTTAAAAGCAAAGTAATAGCATACCTGATGCCCAGCAAAGGAAACATTAACATAAGGATCCACTAGATCCTTGCTTTCTCCTGTGAAGGCTTTTTTGACATTGGCCATTATACCAGTGTTCATCTTGGGCAGACCCTCTGCTTTATATACATTGATACAGAACTTGGCTCTCTGTCTGTCTGCTGGTACACCCTCAGGTAAAAGTAAGTTCCTGTAACACACAACTCAATACATAATTATATTAAGTTTCAAATGCAATTTTATGGAACCAGTTGCCCGACTCTGTTAGAAACTGTAATTCTTTGCCTTCTTTTAAATCAGCATTTTTGCAAAAATATAATTCAAACAGGTGAAGAAATTGTTCTTAAATGAGTTTATGTTTTATACAGGTCCACAATGTAAACTAGTAATATGTACTAATTGTGCTATCCTGTCTAAATAAAAGAATTTATTATTATTCGCTCTCAAACCTTGGTATAATATAAACAGTGTGCAACTAGTAATATGTACTAATTGTGCTATCCTGTCTAAATAAAAGAATTTATTATTATTCGCTCTCAAACCTTGGTATAATATAAACAGTGTGCACCTTGGTATAATATAAACAGTGTGCAATAATTCCCAAGGAATACAGCAAGGGTGCTTACTAACAGAACTTTACTTCATGTATTACAGGTTACATTTTACATTTGTTACATTTTATTTAAATAAATCATTACCCTTCTATATCATCATCATCTTGCTCCATTTTTGGTGGAACCTTCAAAAGAAAACAATCATTTATTTTAAGACATTCAACCAATCTCTCTGTAGGTGTTTTATAATTTCACATTCTTTCAAACCTATCAACTACTTTTGTTTCATTGGTTGTTACCTTCACAGAATCCCCTTTGCCCACCACAGCAATGTCACATTTCAGGTAACCTTTGACCCCTCCATTGATGTCGTCTGGGTCAGTTAGCATTGCCCATTTGTGATAAAATTGGTGATCTATTAAAAGTTTTGATGTTTGATCAATCAAGTTCTTAGCTTTTCAAATTCAAGAAAAAAAACATTATATTTGTTATATTTTTTTTTAACTTTCAATTAAAGAAAATGTATTTTTCTCCATCTTTTTTTTCATTATATGTAATGATTATATAACAAGAAGAAAAAATATCCAGACATTCAATTTGCTGCTTTATGAATATTTCACAGAAACATCTTTTTCCTTATTGCAATGCTCTTTGAAACATTGATTATCAAAGAATTTTTCTTATCTTTTATTGCTAAGTTGTCAAATCTGTGACAATTAACATTGATTTTGTAAGGGAATTGTAGCTACTGATGAATATAATCATGAAATATTTAAGACAGGAAATATTTAAGTGATAAGCTGATCAATATGATAATATGGTGCTCAATTTAGAAGGAAAGTTCTACAATCAATATATAAATATTCGTTTAGATATACATGGATACTGTGTCAGGAATATTTTTAAAAAATCTAAAGTGATGAAGATAGAAAATTCAAATGACCCAAAAGCCAAAATATGAAATAAGTGAAAAATTTTAAAAACCTACAGATACATGTATAAGCCATAGCTAAGACTGCAAGATTTAATTGATTACAATAATAATGCAAGAAAAAGTATAAGTATGTCCAATAGCCAACACTTGCATATAAAGGAATATTTAAAATATACAATTGAAAAAAAAAATCATATTTCAACATTGACCTTAGGGGTAGGTTCTCAAATTAAGCTTATGATATAGTTTCATTACATCATCAAATCACACCAGGGCTTCAACATCAATGTGATATCCTGAAGTTAAACTCACACAGTCCTTATTTTAATATGAACCTAGTTCATTCACAAAACCAATTACCGAAGTTACAAAAATGAACTGGAAATGAAATCAGAGTATTTATTGTCAAGTGGAATCAACTTCAAAACCCCTAGACAATAGACAAAAATGAATGTACGTTCCCTGTACCAAGGAAAGACTATATGGATTGATCACAATGAACGCTGGGTGTCTGACAATGGATACAAGTTATGTGTCCCAAGACAAATTACCTACAAGAAAATAATTCAATTGCTCTGGGTGATAACTTACTTTACTTAACTTCTGTTTTTTTGTGATACACTACTTAGCACTTTGACCAACTGTGGCTAATATTTTTCATCCTTGTAGTGTTTTTGAGGACATTTGCACCATCCTGTACAAGACATGCATTTACAGTTACAGTACAACTTTGATACCTCAAACAGTGATATTACAAAAAACCTGAATATGTTGAAATCTTAGTTATTTGGAATTTCTAACTCATTCATATGAGTATTTTATAACTTAAATATCTTAAAACCTTCGATATCTCAAAGTTTTTTTGCAGTTCTTTTGAGCTCAAGAAAGAGAGGTTTGACTGTTTAACAGAGAGAAAATAAGCATAGATAACAATAAGGAAACTCCTCATTTTTGGGGTCCTAAACCTTATACAAAAGTGGAATAGAAAAGAATTGTTTCTCTGAAAAAATTATTTTCTAATAACTGAGTTTACATGAAGAAATGACATTTATCTAAAATAAATATACACCACAAAATTGAAATATCTCTAGTAATCTAACCATTTTTACGTGCACATAAGAACTACAATTTCAATCGCTAAGCCACTGTAGTTATAACATGTTTTTCTTTTTTATCAATAACTCTAAATCAATCTTACAGTAAAAATATATTATTACATTGAAAGTAACTAGGATAATATTGCAAGGATTCTGTCAGGTGCCATTTTTTTTTAAAGAAATTAATTTTTTTCAAAGCTATTTGTCAGGTTTAAAGATGGAGTTTAGTTATTAAAGAACACCAATTGACAATCCCATTCTGAAATCTTCTGAGAATGAATGACATGGAAGAACTGTCTCCAGAAGTCTATAGATCACTTTGATGCCACGATTGTCTTGTATCTTTAATTGACAAGTCTCATTAGTCTACCCAAATACAGGGAGTCACTGTCATTTATTTAACCACAAAAAAAGATTATTTAAATGTCAAGATGATTATCTTTGGCTTAATCAAGACCTAAGGACAATTCGATGTTTGAAAAAAATTGAAATTAGTAATATGGGGATGAAAGATCAAACTGAAGACTGCATCATTCTCATTTCTAGTACTTATCAAGAGGAAAATGTAATTAGATAACACAGTAAACATTATATACATGTATACTCATGAAATATCCTAGTTCATACACTTTGACATTTCAAATGCACTTATAATGGTAATCTGTACTATATGCTAGACTATTAGCTATGGGTGAAATGGTCTCTACTATTTAAAATTAATCTGACTGTAAAAAAAATAAATATGCATAAGCAAGAAGTCTAAAAGATTATCAAAAACATTTCTGTTACTTTTATGTATATTTTTCAATTATTTTCTTTTTACCTAACATATAAAAATTAAACATTGTTTTTGCTGGCTATATACAACATGGAGGAGGGGGCATTTATGTTTCTATAACAACCATGCTTGACAACAATGTGGATTAGATGTGGTACCTGTTGCAGCATACACAGTGCCTACATCCAGTTTGTAGTTTCCGAGAGGCTTGTTGGATCGGAGGAGACGCCCAGACTGACAAACCTACAGACAGCATGGACACATAAGTAAGACAAAAAGCGGTCACCATACATACAAAATGGTACAGTGGTGCCACCACATGGTTAAAGCTGTTCATGCATAAAGGGTCCACTAAATCTGGAATCATCGGGCGTGTAGGTTAAATCTGGGTTCATATCATATGGAAGGATGTTCTTTGTTGGAATAGTTTAAACAAACAGAGCAACACTGACAAATATGAAAACAGCTGGCAAAAAGGATCATAAGAATATTGTAATTTTACACTACAAACAATTTGTAAAAAAAAAAAAAAAAAATTGAAAAGTGCATTTAAATCAATTCAAAAAGAAAAGTAAAGATTCTGAATGCTTGTTCTCTTTTAATTCACAAAATGCATGTACATTATGCTCACTTTGAAATTAAATTTATCAATTGCTATTATTTATACAAGTATTGCAATTTATACAAGTATTTTGCAATAAATCAAACCAGCTGCCTAATATGTAAAAATGATTTTCTTCTTTTGCAGAGGGAGGTGTTTTTTTTCAAGCATGCATATTTCATTATTTGGGAATGGTCGATTAAATTCTTCCTAACAGTGAAGCTTTACTGGAAATTTCCTAGTTACTGGTACTGAAAGAGCCTGTTAATTAGTAAATTAATTTGGGTTTGTGACAGGTTACGTAAATATATGGAGAGAATGTCAAATGTTACATAATTAACTAATTATTTTACATCGATCAGTAGAAGAGGACTATGCTAGCTATTAAAATCTAAGAAACCCATATCAGAATAATACATCAAGTTGTGTAGTAATGTTTGAATTTTCTTTCTCATTTTCTGTTTGTTTTTTTATTCTTTTCTCTTTGAAAATGATGTATTTATCCTAGTATACATCTATGTCATTTGAATGACCAATTATCCATATGACATCAACAGTAGATTTTTAACAAATATGGCTAAAATGGAAATGAACAGCTTTCTACATTTTTTTCAATTTAGCTTAGAATTTCTGGTTCAACTAATTTTTGTGAAATTCATTTATCCATAGTGGAAAGTTAATTCCAATAAAAAAGAAGTAGCATGATTATTTACACTGGCAATTTCATAAAACCATGCTTTTTGTTCCCAAAATGCATGATATACTGGTATAAAAAGAAGATGAATTGGCAAATCAATATGGGATTACACATAACATACACAACATGTGCAAAACTAAAAAAAATCCTCACATTTTCCATCTTCTAAATCTCCAGGAATTTCTCATTAATTTCAACAAAATATCGATCTTGCTCATGCACTTTCAAATAATAAACAAAAAAGAATCTTCCTTAATCTTTTAAGACTTTAAAACATGAGGATTTTTACCCACAAAGAGCGACCATGCTCCCAAAGAAACATGCTAATGGGAAACCGAAAAAAATAACGCTCTACCATTCTGTAGATAAACAGTTGCAACATCTATCTTGAAAAATCCAACAATTGTGCCGGCACGCAAGAAGTTACGTGAATGTAGGACCTAGTGTACAAATAACATTTACATCAAATAAATTTCTACATTATATGATTCAATTATAAAATTGTATGATTGCCCTCAAAAAATTGAAAAGTTAGCCTAAAGATTTGGCCCCAGGATCATAAAACAGTCTTAGACCTAAGTTAGATTTTCAATTGCCTTTAAAATGATCATTAATTAATAAGTGAATTAATTTCTAAATTTGCAGATACATATTTTGCGAAAAATGATTGAGAAAAGTTACATTTCATTTTAGTACATTGTATAATAGAAAAATTTTGACTTAAGATGTTTCATGATCCCAGGGCCTTATATCTTATAATTGGACCTTAAATGTTGACTTTTTATTTTAATAAACTATGCTGACAAGATTTACTGTTACTTTTTTTCATTTTAAGAAATGTTTAACCATTGAAAATCTCATTCTGATAATTTTTAAAAGAAGACTGTCTCCTTTGATATTATTAACTTAATTTAATTACTGGAAAGTTTCACGATTATGTCTGCAATTAATGTCATGAAATAAATGTTAGACACTTTAAAAATACTTACACTTATTAATTTCAACCATATAGAACTTATTTCAATAAAACAACATTGTTAATGTAGATTCACTTATCTTAATTATTATCAATTCCAGAACAAGAAAACAAATTTCATTATACTACAAAAATAACGTGCTCATTTGGAATCTAAATGGGTTTGTCTCCATTAACTCAAAAACAACCTGCATTTATTTTAAGATGTGTATCCAGGGTAATGACTTACAGTTAAGGTGACAATCTTGTCAAACAGCATTGCCGGAGCCATGTGGAAATCAAACACAAAGTACTGGAAAAAACAGCAGAAAATTGGAATAATTATTGCTAAAACTTGAACTTATAGCAAACAAATTGTACCATAATTATTAGACAATGACAACATAAATGTAATTTTATAAGCATCAAAGAATGTTTTACCAATACAGAATTGCATAAATTTGATCGAAAATGTCCTACATATGAAAGCCAGAACATTTCGGAGAGTTCATAAAAAATGATCAAATCTAATGATAAGAATTTGTGATTCCTGAGCCTTGATCAAATATGGAAATTTGATTTAATTTATTAATTTAATTGACCATTCCATTAGCATACCTCGTTGTAGTAAGGGCAGTTGGTGGATTCCTTGACGCTGGTGTATTTTTTCTGGTCCCCGACCTGAACACAGACTACTGGGTCCATGTTTAACCCCGCCAACTGTCTGGCCTCTATCACCGTTATACAGACCTTCAATATGCAGGGGGAATATTAGTGACCTTCATTACTAATGCTTTACTTGGGTTTTTTTTGCAATATGTTGGTCAGATAATAATCTTTCTTCTACACACTTGCTTAATATTTTACATCACTGTAAACCAAATATTTTTCACATCATCTTTTTTTTTTTTTTTTTCATGAATGAGGAAATATTCTCTACAAATACAAAGCAAAATAAATGGTTCGCAACGATTAATATTCCCGATTTAAAGTAGATCACGAAACTCCTGAATATTTCTTGCACACAAATAAAAGTTGGTTTACAGTATTTATATCACTTGACTGATAGAAACTTTAGATATCAACCATAATAATTACCAGGTTGAAAAAAAATTCAAAGTGCCATAAAATTCAAATGATAGTTTCATTACATTAACCATTATCAGATTGATAGATATCTAAATGTGTCACTATTGAATCAATTAATTCTACAATGGCCCATTTTCTTGGTTTGCAGAAATTTTGCAATTTTATTGGGAGAAAACGTCTATAGGTAAATATGTATTCTGATTAAGTGCCATTAAATATTTACATATTGAAATACACTGATTCTGAAGAGTTATTCTGTGACTTTTGTTTTTGCCCACAAACCTGAAAATCCTGAGCTTTCATAGAAGCCTGTTCTACTCTTGGAACTTTGTCTTTAGACCTAAAATTACAAAACTACTGCAAAAGCACTCATACTTAAACACACATAACAGAGGCCTAAAGGCTCCATAACTCACCTGAGCACTTTGGCTAGGAAAATCACACTATTGAAAGGTTTAAAGCTTAATTTAAAATATCATACCAATCATTGCTTTGCTTTTTCAGGGATAAAGAGTTTTAAAACCAGAAATATGTCCATAAGACACGAATGCCCTGCCGAGGGTATATTAGTAAAGCAACATGAAAATTTGTATTTGTGTATGATATTTGATCAAAATATCTTTAAAGTGATGCAGTTGAATTGCTTACATTAGTATGTATCAACATATGAGGTTTGACACTAGTTTAAAGTGAGGTCAAGGTCAAAGGAAATACCAAGGTCAAAAACTATTGATTCAGTTGAAAAGCTCTCATCAGTAAGTATCAGCATATGAAGTTCAAAAAAATATTATAAATGGTTTCTTTAAAACTGACTTAAACACAAATGGATAAAAATGAGGTCAAGGTCAAATGAAAGGTCAACGTAAAAAATGATGATACACTTAAAATACTTACCTCAATATCTAGCAGCTTATGAAGTTTGACACTGATTTGGAGATGTGAGGTCAATGTCAAAGGAAAGGTCAAGGTCAAAAATGTTGATGCAGTTGCATATCTCTCATCAATATGTATCAACATATGAAGTTTGATAAAAATATCTAGAATGATGTCTTTAATTTAAACTGACTTAAACACAATATGTTAAAAGTGAGGTCGAGGTCTAATAAAAGGTCAAAGCCAAAATTGTTGATGCAGTTGAATTCCTTACATCAGTATGTATCAGCATATGAAGTTTGACACTAGAAATTGAGGTCAAGGTCAAATGAGAGGTCAAGGTCAAAAATGTTGATGCAGTTGCATATCTCTCATCAATATGTATCAACATATAAAGTTTAATAAAAATATCTAGAATGATGTGTTTAATTAAAACTGACTTAAACACAGTATGATAAAAGTGAGGTCAAGGTCAAATAAAAGGTCAAGGTCAAAATTGTTGATGCAGTTGAATTGCTGTCATCAATATGTAACAGCATATGAAGTTTGATAAAAAGATCTTGAATGGTATCTTCAAAACTGAGTGAAACACTTATTAGAGATAAGTGAGGTCAAGGTCAAAGGAAAGGTCAAGGACAAAAATGTTGATGCAGTTGAATAGCTCTCATTAGTATGTATCAACATGTGAAGTTTGATAACACCATCTTGAATGGTATGTTTAAAACTGCGCTAAACACTAATTTAAGAAAAGTAAGGTCAAGGTCAAAGAAAAGGTCAAGGTCAAAAAAGGTTGCTGCAGTTGCATAACTCTCATCAATATCTATCATCATATGAAGTTTGATGAAAATATCTTGGATAGTTTCTTTAAAACTTAGCTTTGAACAGAGCTAAACGCAAAGTGTGACGGAAGGACAGACGGAAGGACGGAAGACGGACATGACAAACACTATATGCCCCAGTCATATTCATGGCGGGGCATAAAAATCCCATGTATTCCTAGTCATAAAACTTTGATCCCCCATCATGTCCCACTTTATCCCCAGAGGATGTTTCAACACAAATTGTTTCAGCTTTTCTAGTCCACAGGTTCTTTGAAAAGAAGATTCTTTTAAAAATGCCATTAATTTTTCAATCATACTTGATTTTCAGTAAGTTGAACACTGCTATCTCAAATACCACAAATATTTCAAAGTCCTTTGGATGTCCCATTAATTTTTCTTAAATTATGCACTTTTCTCCTAGTATTTCAAACCCTTCGATATTTCAAAGTATTTCCTTCTTCCAATCAAGTTTGAGATAAGGAGGTTTGACTGTATCTTAAAAAAATATAACAGTGTAGACAGAAAAGGTTGCAGACAGGACAATATTATTGACTTATGGGAAGATTTGTGGTAATATTAAGGGGTATGGGTAATGGGGGGTATTTAATAAGCAGAAGAGAATCATTTTTTTTTATTGATAAATGTTTTTTACTGTTTGTGAAGATTCATCATTGGACATCATTTGAGTGGGCTGTATAGATTTTTATAATTCTCTTCAAATTATGGTTATTATTTTGACATCCATGCTCATTGTTCTTCTTCCATTACCATTCATTGCATTTCTTCTGATGAATGCCACCAAAAAAAAATCAAGGTAAGGGAACATGGGACATTTAAGGCTCATTAAATTTAATGTGCAGAAAATTGAGTTTGTTTCACATAAATATTTCTTTGTTGCATCCGAGATACACATCGTCGAAGCGATAACAATCTGTAATTATACAGCTTAAATTTTAATCATGGTTGTTTCTGGATTTTCAAAACAAATAATATCCAACACAAATTTTGTATTGAAAGTTTTCAAAAGACATCCTATATTCATTAAAATAGAGTTCAATTTTCAATAATTGGTGTTTATTTGAATCAGTCCTGAAAGTTAAAGACTAGCATATAGTAAATAATCTTCATCAGGCTTCACTTCTCCGATCATTTGCATGCTAGCAGCCCATGATTTGTCATGATTTCAACCTTTAGTGCTTTTGATGCAATAACCTTAATTCATTTGAAAACTGTCACTTTTGATACTGACCTTTTGAAGCTGATTGGTCCAGCTGATAATGACCCCTGACCTTCACTCTGCTGATCATCGTCAAGGTTAGTATCCTTGCCTCCCACCATTGAAGCAATTTCTGCTGCTTTGGCATCTAAACTTGGATCTAGAAAAAGATATAGTGATTTTAGAAGTAAATGAATATAATAATCACTAAATCATATACCTTTGGTAGTTTTTGCACACTTTGCTTATTTTTCTTTGACAAGACATGGTTTATTATTATGAATTTTCTTTACCGGTAATTTTACTGAATTACAAATACAAATACATGTACACAAATACATTTAGTAACAATTATTTTCATCTATAAATGTAAGACAAGGTTTTTTATATTCTAGATAGCAAACCTGTCTCTATGTCGTCTATGAGTGATTGTTTGTCATCCCCATCTGGAAGCCCTCCACCTGCTCGTTGCTTGGACACATTCATCATTAATTTGACCACAGAGGATAAATTTTTGGTTCTGAAAAATTAAAACCGAGCCCCCATACAACATATTTAGGAAGGAATCTATGTTTCAAGAAAAAATATGAAGAGTTTGAAGCATTACATTCATTTGGGAATGACATTCAAAAAGTGTTCAATTTAGGAATTGGTGCAGGAGTATAAAGAAAAATGTTAAAGATTATGTCATAAATAATGTTAAAAAGCCTAATATATACCGGTATGCCTAATATGGATGAGCCAGCTGAAAGCATTTGCAAGTTTTAAATTAATTACTTGTAACTTTGAGCAACAGATTGACTTTATTATTCCGTATTTTGCATCTATCTAGCTTAGATTTAAAGAAACCATTCAAGATATTTTCATCAAAACTTTCTTTCCTAAAGCTGATACAAGCTGGAGACAATAATTCAGCTATTTTAAATTTCTTAACCTTGACCTTCCATATGACCTTGAACCATATATTCCTCTATCTATGTTGGGGTTGGGTGAGGAGGTGAGTTGGTTATGTTTGGTTAATTGAATTTTATTTACACAGAGATAAACGCTTGTAGGAATATTGTATTACCATACAAAATATCATACATGTATTGTATGTTTGTTCCACATTGAGACATTTTTAATGAAAATTGAAATTGAAACAATTATTTTCCTTTTATTACTTAAAAGGTATCAATTCTGTATGTATAGTTCTGTATATATAAGAAATAATTCAATCTTCCACCATATTATACCATAAGCTGAAACAAATGAAATAAACTATATAGATACAGTTCTTTTCATGTTGCAATATAGATGTACACTGTAATATTTCCATTTCTAATTTCTTTCTCTGTGATAACTCTTTGAAAATTAGTGGAGTTGATTTCTTGATAATTCTACCAGAATGTAAATTAGGTACGCCGATAGGTCAGGAGCCAAGGAGGCCTAATATGCATGCAAATCTTGTGCGTATCTGTCTCTTGTCTGACACTAAAGAGGCCAAATATGCATGTAAATCTCATGCGGCTGCCTTTGTGTTTGACGTCAGTGGGTGAGGACTATTGAAATTGGCATGGGAGTCCTCATGTAATTTAAATCTAAGATGTCTACATTTTTAAAGTCTAAATCTACAATTTTATTTCACAATGAAATGGAAATATAAGGAATCACTGTCTAGTTAGTATAGTATGCCAGGGACATCAACGATAGTGGGAAACATGGGATAATTTATGCATAAAGGGGTTGCCCGTTATGCAAATTATCGAATTATCCCATGTTACCCACTATTGTTGATGCCCTGGCATACTATACTAACTACACAGTGATTCCTTAATTATAACTGTTGGACATTCATATCCCCTGTACATTACATCTAGAATCGGTAAATTCTAACAAGGAAACAAAATCAACATTGTAGTAATCTCAATACTGCACAATAAATGTACAATAAAATCCTAATAAACAGATTAGATTGCTTTTATTACTTCACAAGGGAGTTATGAACATTTGGAAATTGGAAAGATGTTACACTGTTTCCTTACCCCACCCCCCTCCCGATTAATAAAAACAGCATCAAAATAATTGATCAAAGAACTCCTCATACATATAAACTCTGGTCAACATTATTCAAACCTCCAATTCTACTGATCTGATGTGATTAGTAGAAATAATGATCAGGGAGGCAATTTGATTTTGAGATTTCTTGTTGTGATAGAAATCTGGATCCCAATCTGCTTTCAAATTCATGAAATAAAAGTTTACGGCACAAAGATTTGGCTTTGTGATATTTATTTTCTTCAATTTTTCATGATGCAGGTAATCATATGTCAATAGTTTCCCTGGAATCTTTATTAAAGCTAAAAGTGTAAAATTGCATCACAATTGATATAATGCCTCTCAACAATTTATTTTTCTCACCATGAAATTGATATGCTGAAAAGAAAAACAAACATGATATTTTTCCCTTATTTGGTTTCCGCATGCAATATATATCCATTATGAAAGTTTGCCATTGAAAGACAATCTATCGAAATATTTCAATGAACTGAAAATTTTCTGAATGCAGAACTGTGGTCCAGGACAGGTCTATCAATCAGCGTATTGTTTCTGTATTGATGAGGAAGATACCTGACGCAACCTGTGCTCATATCATACAATAGAAAAACATATGCATGATCGAACCCTTCAATTCTCTACCGTTCAAGAGATAGCATTATAGCCAAGTGAATTTTACAGTGAATTATTTCATTTCAAATGGAAGAGAAGAGCATCAAAGATCTCAAAATTGAAGGGTTTTTTGGGTAATTTTTCTGACACCAAATTAATTAAATGTCAGAGCTCTGTGAATTTCTTCAAGCCACTGGTAAACCCAATAGACTATAACATTAAATTTACAATAAATATTTTATATATGCACATTGAATCTTCTCAAAGTAAGAAACACTAACCCATCATTTCTAAATGCATTGATGTATTTTTGCATGTCGCTGCAAAAAAATTTTACAATATGAGTTGGCAAAAAGGGATGAATAGACAATTTCTATGTGGGACCCAATTAAGATACACCTACAAGAACAAGCATCACTCAGTATAGAGCTATATCAGATATATATATATAGTTCCCCTGATGATGTAAGGCATATGTGAATCATCTGATGTTATAACAAATAAGATATGACAAGAGGAAAAAGTAACTTGCTTTGGTCTTAAAAATGTGTTAAATTTCCATTTGCAAGGATCAATTGAACAGGTCTTAACTCCAAATCATGTCAATAACCTTGTGAAATTGCTGTCTGAAAAGAATATTTCATTACCAGTCATATCCAATATACTGATTATCAAGTTATACTTCTTGACCACTGAAAAAAGCACATCACAGTTATTATAAGGTTTCAATGTTTTCTTTTTCATAGCATTAAGTGACTGCTACATTCTAAAGTCTTTTAATGCTCTACAGTTCTGAATTGATTTTTAAAATGAATGTATAATTTTGATTAACTTCACAAGTTACTCTATAGAGACCCACTATAAATTCAAGATAAATTTTTGAAGACATACTTAACAGAACCATTCTTTAATACATATTTTGGAAAATTACACATGTAATACTTCCTATATTCTAGTCATTGAACAAATATTGTTATCTGGCAAGGAATGCAAAGTTGTTCTTGTAAAAAATGAAAATGGTGCTTGGAAATCAGACACTACTTCTTCCTTAGATTAAAAGTTCAACGTGGTTTTCTTTTTTTTTTTTTAAATCTGTCTACAGAGGCAAAAATACTCAGGTCTGGATATAGAATTTAAATTATCATACTTCTGCCTCTTGAACCATTTAAAGGAGATATTGTTCCAGTAATATATTGTAAACACTGCACAAGAGTAATTTGAATGTACATGTATATCATCCACACTCTAAAAAGACTGAATATCCAGGTCTTCTCGTAACATATATTGTAAAGAACATGAAAGTCTCTCCGTAAAAATAATTTTCTAGTTATATAAATAGAAAATAATGCAAGTTACTGTTATCAGATGACTGGCACTGATGCAAAGCGTGGTGTTTTAAGACTTTAAGCCATTCACATGTATTACAAGACCAGCATGTTGAATTAAGGGAGAGAATATTGCTAGCCAATGGGTATAAAACTCTATTTGCATGTCTTGATTATGAACTTGGTTCTCATTCAGCCTATATACAAAGCATCTGCCCTGCAGGATCCTGTCCATTTGGACGCCTCGGAAGCAGCTCTGTGACAATCGCAATTGTTGACTTATTGGCGCCTCTCATGCATTGTCTGTAATTTCTATTGAGAGTTTGCCTAACTAATTGAAGACCACTTTGCTGTGCATTTCAGTGTTTCCAGCTTAGTTTATGTTAGTTTGATTTTTCCCCCTCAATTTTATGCAGATTTTTGCACACAAACATCAAACCTGTGTATTACAGGAAGATGAAAGAAGATTTAAAAGTCTACACTGTTTAGCCTGCAATGTTCTTATTTTCCTTCATTTTGAAAGCAATTGTGAAAATCAAATAATTCAAAACTGAAGAAATTATAACAAAACAATTGAATTAAAATTGTACAAGCCTTCTGAATAAGTGAACTCTTCAAAAAAAAAAATTGAAAATCCACAAAGTGCTTTCACAAACTTAATTTAATTCTGCACAATTTGCACTTTGTGAATGAAAAAAATACTTTGATGCTAAAGCATGGTCATAGACCTATGAAGTGAAAGAGGGTTTCACTTCTCATTTAAGAATGGATTCATATGGAGAAATAAGAAAAAAGACCCAAATTTTTGATTTTTTTCTTTAATCTGTAAACTTACTGTCTTGGTGACCTTCCCCCGGACCTCTTGGACTCCAGACTGAGTTTTGATCCATGAATTGATTTGGAGGGACTGCCAGTGGAGATGATGGACTGGGAATCCAGACTGCTCTGTTCCAGGTTTCTGAGGTTCTGGTCTTCCTCTGTCAAGGGGGATCTAAGTTCTTCCGAGGTGAGTTTGTCGAAGCCTCCTTTCTGCCACATACCCACAGATCCATCAGGGGCATTGTATACCAGTTCAAAGGTCACAGTTGTCTGAAAAATGTGTGAAATGTTGTGAAGAGTTTTATATATAAGAAAAAGGGAAAAGCAATTTTGTCCATTTCCTCTATATTTTGTATCTAGACATCTTTTGCAATAATAAACAGTCATAACCAACTTTTATCCCTTAAGAAATATCCTTGAGTTTTGTTACCTCTTTTACTCACCAATATTTATTTTCATCTTCAAACTATTTCATTGTGTATTTATGTAGAATAATTCTTCACCTCCCCCCCCCCCCCCCCCCCCAAAAAAAATTGCTCATATGTGCTGCCTCGTTGGAAAATAATTCCAATCGCAATGAAATTTACACACTTTTCAGTCTACTTGGTACAATTATTCCAGCCGTAGACCTAACAGAGTTGTGGTTTTAGTGAAAGAAAACTTCCTCTTACTGAAGATTTCCACACAGGGGAATTAACTGTCAAATAAGCCTCTTACTATAATGACAGTCTCTACAATCATGTTACAAACTAGCTGCAGATCTGTAGTGTTATGGTTTTATATATTAGTCTTTGACAATAACGCTACAGATCCTGTGATGCAAAAAATGTGCAATTTATGGTGCAAATATTTTTTGCGCACTTTTGGGGAGAATTTCACCACTTTCTAGCATTGGTCAGTCAACTACCTTTTACTCCCTAATTCTAGACACATTCTGTAGCCAATATGTATATTTTATCCACCTCCCAACCATTTATAGTTGTCTCTACAGGCAATAAACTCGCTTGAAGTGAATTTTCAGCAATCTAACAAATAATTTTAATCAAGTGAGTTTACCACTTGTAGAGACGACTATAAAGGGTTGGGAGAAAGATAAAATATACAGATTAGTCAAATAATGTGCCTAGAATTAGGGAGTGAAAGGTAGTTAATTGACCGATGCTGGAAAGTGGAGAAATTCTCCCAAAAAGTGCGCAAAAAATATTGCGCCGTAAATTACACCTTTTTTGAATTATAGGATCTGTAGCATTATGGTCAAAGAGTTGAAACACAAATATATAAAACCATAACGCTACAGATCTGGGGCCCGGTTTACAAAAGGACTTACAACTTAAGACCAAGTTTAATTTTTATATAACTTTTTATTTAACATTATATCGAAAATTATTTTAAACTCTTTGAAAAGAATGTGGTAAGATATTTTTACACTGACAATTTCAAAGATAATTATTAATTTTGCAAAATTTTACAATAATCTGAAGTTTTTGGTCTTAGTCAGAAGTTCTTTTGTAAAACGGGCCCCTGCAGCTAGTTACAAACAGATTACCAGTATATTTAAGGACATATGCAACATTTATGTACACAAACTCCACAATGTACCTTTCAAACTGAAATTAACCAAAAATTATTCTTAATTTAAAAGCAAAGTACCATAAGTTGTTCTTGCCAATGGGTTAAACAGAATACATCGATTTTCAAGAGTTTTGAACCTGTATCAAATGATGAAAATCTTTGTATATTTTTTAAGAAAAATTAACAAAAATATGTGTTTAGATGGAATTCTCTTTAAATTTGATTCAGAGGAGCTGTACAGCATATCCAGGCATAACAAAATCTCAGAAAGATCCTTATATAACTGGAACTCTTAAATTATACAAGGAATAAGAAATTAAAGTTCAAATTATGTTGCTTACATCCTAATAGACAACATTGCATGTTTAAGGTTCTTGGTAACTTAGCAACTCGGAATAGTTGGTATAAATTAAGTTACAAACGTTTATCTTTGAAACAAAGAGTAATGGCTTATAATATCATCTGGGGAAAAATTATAGCCATTATTTTCTCCATCAGAAGACTGAGCTCATATAGATGAAGCAATGCGGAAGACCATCAACCTTTGTTGTAGACATAATTTATAAAAGTCTAAATGGTTAAACCTATCATCATTAGGAACTATGGTACTAAATCTTTAAGCTTTCAAGCTGTGTAAGCTGTGTACTACTGCCTGTTATGACTGACTAATCAATTCTTAGGACTTGATCTTGAGTGTTTACATACATTTAGTAGGATTAGCAAATGATGCCAAAGATTGAGAAAATTCATGTCAAACAACCTTAAAAACACAGAGGTACAACATTAAACAATACTTTGTTGAGAGAGAGAGAGAGAGTTCAACAGTTTTAAAATATATGGTTCAAGTTGCAAAACATGATAGCAATGAGATTTGTGGTCTACTAAATGAAATTTCCCTTTTAAAATGTGTGAATATTTTGATATCTTTCATTTTAATTAGCCAAAAGTGATTTAAAAATGCATCTCACTCTCAGTTTATAAACTCTGGGTCAACATGAGAATCACATATTCAAATAGCAAAATATAATTACAGTAAAACTCAATTATAACGAAGTCACTGGGACCTATGAAATTACTTTGCTATATCCATAATTTGTTATATCCAAATAAGGAATTCACTATATTGCTTGAGATCCAGGATAACTTTGCTATATTAGTGAATTTGCAATATCCGTGTTCATTCGAAACGAGTATTACTGTCTTAATACATGCATTGCGACATGTTCTGTCCAGTAAATAATTATTAAATAATTATCAAAAATAAGTTATTCATGTAGTATGTCATTATGGAATCGAAAATGCAGATGACAAAATTCTCCAGGAGCAAGATGCTGCCAATTTAAGAGCTCTCCTATGAATCAATAATAGAATTTCTACATTGGCAAGTCAGCATCTTATATCTGTAAAGGGCATTGACGTAAATGTTACAAAGTCCCATCTGGAAGTGAGGACTTTCTCATAACAGTACTTAAGCTAATGAAATTAATTGCTAATTATAACGCAAATAGAGTAGCTGGCAATCATTCAGTTCAAAGGATGGAGGCAATTCACAACAATGATGATAAAGGAAGAAAATTCTGCGCATTTATATCTTTATGGCAAACACAGTAATATTGAAACACCCAAACAAAAGTTTAATGACAGAAAATTAATTATCTTAGTTAATATGAAGTATATCAAAATCTATATATTTAGGCCATAATAAATAAATTCCTCTTTTATTTTATATTTTTTATTTTTTCAATTTTGCAGATTTTTTATTGACTTGCTCAATCGGTGTAATTTTATCTACAATGCCCGAATAAAAGTCATAGTAAAGGTTCAATTATCTCTTACTTCACATCATCACCAATCTTTTTCAACCAATGACCCTTGTTTAAAATCTATACGCATGTATTACACCAATTACCATCTTTTCAGCTGTCAAAATCGTGTCGACTTTCGCGGGATTTAAAACGAAAGTAGAATGTTAGATGAATACATCATCAAAAAGTTTAAAAAAATCGATATAAAATAATTAATATTTTTATTATGGCCTTATCTTTTTATTGATTTTATGTAGAAATGACGTATTTTCTCTCTCTTTAACTTCACAAAAAGTTTGATATAATAATATAGCAAAAACATGCTTAAAATGAAATGCCAGCAACAATTGATTTTCCTTCATTTTAGGTCTAATTCATTTATATAATAATTATGTTTACAATATTATTTTAAAGTCATGGGACATAAAAATCACTTTGCTGTAAACATTAATTCATTATAAGTATATTCTCTATAAGCATGTTTTACTGTAGATGGCAATTATCAGCACATCAAATATTTAGATTTATGCACGTAGTTTCAAGAATAAATTATGCTGCATATAGTCTGCAACAAGTTAAAACTAATATTTGTAATGAATATAATAGCACCAATGGAGGAAAAATGTTTTTGGGTTACCGGTAACTGCATGGTCTTAAGAATTCTTCTTGTATATTTTTTTTTGTACAGAGAAACATTTTCAAACACTTCCTTTTCTTTTGATCAAAGGAACACCACCTACACTGTATGACTAATGTTTTTTTTCCTGATCTTTGTCCTAAAGTAAATTTTCTTGTAGCTCTGAGAACTAAATCTGTCTGAATAAGATTAACTGCTCCACAACTTAAAACAATATCAATAATATGCATAAACTTGAAAGACTTCATCAATTCAATTGTCTCAATAAAAAGAAAAACACCAGACAACTAAAGAATGTAAATATGATGTGCAATCAAGTACACTTCTCAGGACCATATTCAGACTAACACAAGAAAAAAAAAACATTGTGAAAATACATTTGCTTCAGAATCTCCAGAACTAAGCTTGGTTTCATAAAATGTTCATTATTGTCAGTATGAATTAGTCATTAACCAAAAACTGTACAAGAACTAATATAAGACAAATTAGAAGCACTCCCAGAAAACTATATCCTTGAGATTTTAAATCAATTATCTCCAGTAGTCAATGGAGGAAAAGAGAAACAGAATGATTACATACAAAAAAAGTTATAAAATATTTATCAAGGTTTTTTAATAATTTCTCACATAGGAGTTGACAGATATGCAATAGTAGGGTCAATACCAATTCATAATTCTTGGCTATTTGATCTTAACAAGATAACTTTTTCTATTAATTCTGCAATATCTATGATTTTATAATATGGGATTGGCACATTTTTCAATAACCTTCTTGCAATTTTGACTGAACAAAATTCATCAAAAAAGTAAACAGCCATAAAAAAATTAGGGATATCAATTAAAGGCTAAAGGGGTCTGGGGGCCGCCTTGAATTATTTGAGAGATTTTGTAGGGTAAAAATTAGATTTACCAATCATTTTCTAGACGAAACTGTGATTTACAACTTTGACAATTTTAGGACCAACGATATCAATGACTAATCAATTATTTGACAATCAGTCAAATGGACCAACGATTGAATCGCGAAACGACATTCCAATAAGATTATAAATAAATCCACCAAAAGAGTGATAATGATATGGAATTCTCATTATGAAATTGAGAAACCATCTTTCCTCAAAGACAGTAAAAAATTTCTAAAAATGGTCATGTCCATCCACCCCGCTTTATATATATAATGCTTAAGAATCATTGATGCAAATTGCTGTGTTCTGGAGCTTATCCTATATTAACAATGTCATATATACAACATTTACA